TTAACTTTGATAGATCAGATTAACTTGATAGATCAGATTAACCTTGATAGATCAGATTAACCTTCAGGGATCAGATTAACCTTGATAGATCAGATTAACTTTGATAGATCAGATTAACCTTGATAGATCAGATTAACTTTGATAGATCAGATTAACTTTGATAGATCAGATTAACTTTGATAATCAGATTAACTTTGATAAATCAGATTAACCTTGATAGATCAGATTAACTTTGATAGATCAGATTAACCTTTGATAGATCAGATTAACCTTTGATAGATCAGATTAACTTTGATAATCAGATTAACTTGATAGATCAGATTAACTTTGATAGATCAGATTAACCTTTATAGATCAGATTAACTTTGAATTATCAGATTAACCTTCAGAGATCAGATTAACTTTGATAGATCAGATTAACCTTCAGAGATCAGATTAACTTTGAATTATCAGATTAACCTTCAGAGATCAGATTAACTTTGATAGATCAGATTAACTTTGATAGATCAGATTAACCTTGATAGATCAGATTAACTTTGATAGATCAGATTAACCTTCAGGGATCAGATTAACCTTGATAGATCAGATTAACTTTGATAGATCAGATTAACCTTGATAGATCAGATTAACTTTGATAGATCAGATTAACTTTGATAGATCAGATTAACTTTGATAAATCAGATTAACTTTGATAAATCAGATTAACCTTGATAGATCAGATTAACTTTGATAGATCAGATTAACTTTGATAGATCAGATTAACTTTGATAGATCAGATTAACTTTGATAAATCAGATTAACTTTGATAGATCAGATTAACTTTGATAGATCAGATTAACCTTGATAGATCAGATTAACTTTGATAGATCAGATTAACCTTGATAGATCAGATTAACTTTGATAGATCAGATCAACCTTGATAGATCAGATTAACTTTGATAGATCAGATTAACCTTCAGAGATCAGATTAACCTTTATAGATCAGATTAACTTTGAATTATCAGATTAACCTTCAGAGATCAGATTAACTTTGATAGATCAGATTAACCTTCAGAGATCAGATTAACCTTTATAGATCAGATTAACTTTGAATTATCAGATTAACCTTCAGAGATCAGATTAACTTTGATAGATCAGATTAACCTTCAGGGATCAGATTAACCTTGATAGATCAGAATAACTTTGATAGATCAGATTAACTTTGATAGATCAGATTAACTTTGATAGATTAGATTAACTTTGATAGATCAGATTAACTTTGATAGATCAGATTAACCTTCAGAGATCAGATTAACTTTGATAGATCAGATTAACCTTCAGAGATCAGATTAACCTTCAGAGATCAGATTAACCTTTATAGATCAGATTAACTTTGAATTATCAGATTAACCTTCAGAGATCAGATTAACTTTGATAGATCAGATTAACCTTCAGAGATCAGATTAACCTTGATAGATCAGATTAACTTTGATAGATCAGATTAACTTTGATAGATCAGATTAACCTTCAGGGATCAGATTAACCTTGATAGATCAGATTAACTTTGATAGATCAGATTAACCTTCAGGGATCAGATTAACCTTGATAGATCAGATTAACTTTGATAGATCAGATTAACCTTGATAGATCAGATTAACTTTGATGGATCAGATTAATTTTGATAGATCAGATTAACTTTGATAAATCAGATTAACTTTGAATTATCAGATTAACCTTCAGAGATCAGATTAACTTTGATAGATCAGATTAACCTTCAGAGATCAGATTAACCTTTATAGATCAGATTAACTTTGAATTATCAGATTAACCTTCAGAGATCAGATTAACTTTGATAGATCAGATTAACCTTCAGAGATCAGATTAACTTTGAATTATCAGATTAACCTTTAGAGATCAGATTAACCTTCAGGGATCAGATTAACCTTGATAGATCAGATTAACTTTGATAGATCAGATTAACCTTGATAGATCAGATTAACTTTGATAGATCAGATTAACTTTGATAGATCAGATTAACTTTGATAAATCAGATTAACTTTGATAAATCAGATTGACCTTGATAGATCAGATTAACTTTGATAGATCAGATTAACTTTGATAGATCAGATTAACTTTGATAAATCAGATTAACCTTCAGAGATCAGATGAACTTTGATCAGATTAACCTTCAGAGATCAGATTAACCTTTATAGATCAGATTAACTTTGAATTATCAGATTAACCTTCAGAGATCAGATTAACCTTCAGAGATCAGATTAACCTTTATAGATCAGATTAACTTTGAATTATCAGATTAACCTTCAGAGATCAGATTAACTTTGATAGATCAGATTAACCTTCAGAGATCAGATTAACTTTGAATTATCAGATTAACCTTCAGAGCATTCTTCTCCCCAACTTTCCATAGGTTTTGTTAACTTTTTATAGATCCAAGATTAAACACATCTCTTGATAGATCCAGGGGTGAGTTGAGGTTAAGATCCCATTAACCTCAGGTGATCAGATTATACCTTGACAGAATCAGGATTTAAACTTGATAGATCAGATGTACCTTGTCCCAGTAGATCCAGAATTTACTTTGATAGAATCAGATTCAACAGAGAGATAGAAACAATTAACTTTGATTAAAAATCCCGAGTAACTTCATTGAAAAAACAGATTAACCCTTGATGATCAGATTAAAGTTTGATGAGATCAGATCAACTTTGATAAAATCAGAAAGTCCAACTTTTTTATAGATCAATATAACTTTGGGTATCTGCACAAACTGATAAAAAATCAAACTTTAATTTGGGGCAAATTTTACCTTTAGTGATGCAGATTAACTTGCAAAAATCATTTAACCCTTGAAATCAAATTAACCTTTTTCTCGAAACGAATCAACCTTGGTAGTCAGATTAACTTGATATCATCACCATTAAACTTTGCTAGTACCAAAATTAACTTGGATAGTCAGATTAACTTTTGATAAATACAGATTAAACTCTGATCACTCAGATTGGTCCCTTCCCGGTCAGATTAACTTGATAGAATCCAGTTAACTTTGATAGATCGTGCGTTACTTTATAAACTCAGATTAACTTTGATAATCTGAGTAACTTATAATCCCGAATTCTTCTGAACATCAGGATTAACGTTGATAGATCACGTTAACTTTTCTAATTCCCGATAACTTTTATAATCAGTTAACTTTTGATAAATCCAGAGGAAACCGTCAGGTCTTCAGATTAACCCTGATAGAGCCAGATTAATTGTGAAGTGTAGTTGATCTTTAGTATGATCGTGTTAACTTTGTAGATCTGGATTCTTCGGTCTGGATTACCTTTCTATTGGTGGGTCTACTGTTTGGGGTTATCTGTTCCCTTGGATCGGTTAGTCTTCTGATAGATCAGATTAACCTTCAGAGATCAGATTAACCTTTATAGATCAGATAACTTTGAATTATCAGATTAACCTTCAGAGATCAGATTAACTTTGATAGATCAGATTAACCTTCAGGGATCAGATTAACCTTGATAGATCAGAATAACTTTGATAGATCAGATTAACTTTGATAGATCAGATTAACTTTGATAGATTAGATTAACTTTGATAGATCAGATTAACTTTGATAGATCAGATTAACCTTCAGAGATCAGATTAACTTTGATAGATCAGATTAACCTTCAGAGATCAGATTAACCTTCAGAGATCAGATTAACCTTTATAGATCAGATTAACTTTGAATTATCAGATTAACCTTCAGAGATCAGATTAACTTTGATAGATCAGATTAACCTTCAGAGATCAGATTAACTTTGAATTATCAGATTAACCTTCAGAGATCAGATTAACTTTGATAGATCAGATTAACTTTGATAGATCAGATTAACCTTGATAGATCAGATTAACTTTGATAGATCAGATTAACTTTGATAGATCAGATTAACCTTCAGGGATCAGATTAACCTTGATAGATCAGATTAACTTTGATAGATCAGATTAACCTTCAGGGATCAGATTAACCTTGATAGATCAGATTAACTTTGATAGATCAGATTAACCTTGATAGATCAGATTAACTTTGATGGATCAGATTAATTTTGATAGATCAGATTAACTTTGATAAATCAGATTAACTTTGAATTATCAGATTAACCTTCAGAGATCAGATTAACTTTGATAGATCAGATTAACCTTCAGAGATCAGATTAACCTTTATAGATCAGATTAACTTTGAATTATCAGATTAACCTTCAGAGATCAGATTAACTTTGATAGATCAGATTAACCTTCAGAGATCAGATTAACTATGAATTATCAGATTAACCTTTAGAGATCAGATTAACTTTGATAGATCAGATTAACCTTCAGAGATCAGATTAACTTTGATAGATCAGATTACCCTTGATAGATCAGATTAACTTTGATAGATCAGATTAACCTTCAGTGATCAGATTAACCTTCAGAGATCAGATTAACCTTCAGAGATCAGATTAACCGTCAGTGATCAGATTAACTTTGATAGATCAGATTAACCTTCAGTGATCAGATTAACCTTCAGAGATCAGATTAACCTTCAGAGATCAGATTAACCTTCAGAGATCAGATTAACTTTGATAGATCAGATTAACCTTCAGGGATCAGATTAACTTTGATAGATCAGATTAACTTTGATAGATCAGATTAACCTTCAGAGATCAGATTAACTTTGATAGATCAGATTAACCTTCAGAGATCAGATTAACCTTCAGAGATCAGATTAACCTTCAGTGATCAGATTAACCTTCAGTGGGACATTGCTGGCCCTGATGTTCTGCCTGTAGTTCAATCACCTCTCCCTGTTTCTGGCAGAACGTTTCCTGCAGCACTTTTTCCTTCCACCCAACTTTCCATCAGTGTTTTTTTGTACAGTTCTGTTTTTATTGAGCATCCATGATGCATTACAGACACAATACTCTTGGTTCCACAGGGAGGGTGAGGTTGCAGGTTAAAATCCCACCTGGACCTGAGCTGCTCACCTGTTAGCTGGCCCAGGCTGTCAGGCAGAACCCTCAGCCTGTTGTGACAAAGTGTGATTTTCTGCAGAGCTGTGAGGTGTCCCACGCTGGAGGGCAGCTGCTCCAGAAGGTTGTGGGACAGATCCTTCAGATGAAAGTAGCACACAGCAGAGAGAACCGCCAATCACATCACAGCCTGATTATTAAAGGGAAACCAGCCCCTCAGCTCACTGCCAGCTGGTCATAGCAATAAAAACAGAAAGTTACCAGCTCCGTCAGGCTCCCCAGCTGGCCCATTTCCTCAGGCATCTTTTCCAGAAGGTTCTGCTGCAGAGTGAGAGAATGCAGCTTCTGCAGGGCGAACAGCTCCGCCGGCAGCAACGCCAACTTATTATGACTGTAGACACACAATGGGAATGGATGAGTGCTTCTCTGGCCTTTCTGCACAAACTGATCTAAAAAAACGCAAATCTCTTAAAATTGGAGCATTTAGCCTTTAAGCTGAGCAGATAAATGCAGAAACTCTTTTACCCTTAAAGTCAAATAATGGAGCCGTTTTTCTCCTTAAACGTAGATCTTCTCCTCTCATTGGTGCTTTACCTTCTTTAAGCCGCTGGCTCATCTTCACCATTTAGACCAGCTTTGCCTGATGTACCAAAAACTGGCAAAAACGCTGGTATACGTCGGAGAAGTTATGGGTACATTTTCTATAAGTTATGAGCTGAAACACGTCGGCGAGTCCGTCTGCCAGCGTCCGCCATCCGTGGTCCATCAGTTCCAGGTCAGTTATCTGATGGTCGACATCCGTTCAGTGTCAGTTCCTCATCAGTCGTGGCGTCTAGCTGATCCTAAACCTCTGACTAACTTGTGTATAACCTCTGAGTAACTTATCCAGAACTTCTCTCCAACATATCAGCGTATCTGACGTGTTCCAGACGAGCGCTGAACGTGTTTCTAACTTCCAGCTACTGTATAATGGCGTATTGGCAGCGTTTTGGTATAAAGGGGGTTCACAGGAGGAAACCGTCAGTTCTCCTCCAGACTTCATCCCCATCATAGGGGGAGCCAGAATGGGAGTGATGGAGTGTGAGTCTGGATCTGGTTAGTCTGGATCTGGTGGGTCTGGATCTGGTGGGTCTGGATCTGGTGGGTCTGGATCTGGTGTGTCTGGATCTGGTGGGTCTGGATCTGGTGGGTCTGGATCTGGTGGGTCTGGATCTGGTTAGTCTGGATCTGGTGAGTCTGGATCTGGTGGGTCTGGATCTGGTTAGTCTGGATCTGGTGAGTCTGGATCTGGTGGGTCTGGATTTGGTGGGTCTGGATCTGGTGGATCTGGATCTGGTTAGTCTGGATCTGGTGGGTCTGGATCTGGTGGGTCTGGATCTGGTGGGTCTGGATCTGGTGTGTCTGGATCTGGTGGGTCTGGATCTGGTGGGTCTGGATCTGGTGGGTCTGGATCTGGTTAGTCTGGATCTGGTGAGTCTGGATCTGGTGGGTCTGGATCTGGTTAGTCTGGATCTGGTGAGTCTGGATCTGGTGGGTCTGGATTTGGTGGGTCTGGATCTGGTGGATCTGGATCTGGTTAGTCTGGATCTGGTGGGTCTGGATCTGGTGAGTCTGGATCTGGTGAGTCTGGATCTGGTGAGTCTGGATCTGATGAGTCTGGATCTGGTGGGTCTGGATCTGGTGAGTCTGGATCTGGTGAGTCTGGATCTGGTGGGTCTGGATCTGGTGGGTCTGGATCTGGTTAGTCTGGATCTGGTGAGTCTGGATCTGGTGAGTCTGGATCTGGTGGGTCTGGATCTGGTAAGTCTGGATCTGGTGAGTCTGGATCTGGTGGGTCTGGATCTGGTGAGTCTGGATCTGGTGAGTCTGGATCTGGTGAGTCTGGATCTGGTGGGTCTGGATCTGGTAAGTCTGGATCTGATTAGTCTGGTTCTGGTTGGTCTGGATCTGGTGGGTCTGGATCTGGTGGGTCTGGATCTGGTGGGTCTGGATCTGGTGGGTCTGGATCTGGTGTGTCTGGATCTGGTGGGTCTGGATCTGGTGGGTCTGGATCTGGTGGGTCTGGATCTGGTTAGTCTGGATCTGGTGAGTCTGGATCTGGTGGGTCTGGATCTGGTTAGTCTGGATCTGGTGAGTCTGGATCTGGTGGGTCTGGATTTGGTGGGTCTGGATCTGGTGGATCTGGATCTGGTTAGTCTGGATCTGGTGGGTCTGGATCTGGTGAGTCTGGATCTGGTGAGTCTGGATCTGGTGAGTCTGGATCTGGTGGGTCTGGATCTGGTGGGTCTGGATCTGGTGAGTCTGGATCTGGTGAGTCTGGATCTGGTGGGTCTGGATCTGTTGGGTCTGGATCTGGTTAGTCTGGATCTGGTGAGTCTGGATCTGGTGAGTCTGGATCTGGTGGGTCTGGATCTGGTGAGTCTGGATCTGGTGAGTCTGGATCTGGTGGGTCTGGATCTGGTGAGTCTGGATCTGGTGAGTCTGGATCTGGTGGGTCTGGATCTGGTGGGTCTGGATCTGGTAAGTCTGGATCTGGTTAGTCTGGATCTGGTGGGTCTGGATCTGGTGAGTCTGGATCTGGTGAGTCTGGATCTGGTGAGTCTGGATCTGGTGGGTCTGGATCTGGTGGGTCTGGATCTGGTTAGTCTGGATCTGGTGAGTCTGGATCTGGTGAGTCTGGATCTGGTGGGTCTGGATCTGGTAAGTCTGGATCTGGTGAGTCTGGATCTGGTGGGTCTGGATCTGGTGGGTCTGGATCTGGTGGATCTGGATCTGGTTGGTGGGTCTGGATCTGGTGGGTCTGGATCTGGTTAGTCTGGATCTGGTGAGTCTGGATCTGGTGAGTCTGGATCTGGTGGGTCTGGATCTGGTAAGTCTGGATCTGGTGAGTCTGGATCTGGTGGGTCTGGATCTGGTGGGTCTGGATCTGGTGGATCTGGATCTGGTTAGTCTGGATCTGGTGGTTCTGGATCTGGTGGGTCTGGATCTGGTGGATCTGGATCTGGTGGGTCTGAATCTGGTGGGTCTGAATCTGGTGGGTCTGAATCTGGTGAGTCTGGATCTGGTGGGTCTGGATCTGGTGGGTCTGGATCTGGTGGGTCTGGATCTGGTGGGTCTGGATCTGGTGGGTCTGGATCTGGTGGGTCTGGATCTGGTGAGTCTGGATCTGGTTAGTCTGGATCTGGTGGGTCTGGATCTGGTGAGTCTGGATCTGGTTAGTCTGGATCTGGTGAGTCTGGATCTGGTTAGTCTGGATCTGGTGGGTCTGGATCTGGTGAGTCTGGATCTGGTGGGTCTGGATCTGTTGGATCTGGATCTGGTTAGTCTGGATCTGGTGAGTCTGGATCTGGTGGGTCTGGATCTGGTGGGTCTGGATCTGGTGAGTCTGGATCTGGTGGGTCTGGATCTGGTGAGTCTGGATCTGGTGGGTCTGGATCTGGTGGGTCTGGATCTGGTGAGTCTGGTTCTGGTGGATCTGGATCTGGTTAGTCTGGATCTGGTTAGTTTGGATCTGGTGGGTCTGGATCTGGGATGTCTGGATCTGGTGGGTCTGGATCTGGTGAGTGTGGATCTGGTGGATCTGGTGTGTCTGGATCTGGTGGATCTGGTTAGTCTGGATCTTGTTAGTCTGGATCTGGTGGATCTGAATCTGGTTAGTCTGGATCTGGTGAGTCTGGATCTGGTTAGTCTGGATCTGGTGAGTCTGGATCTGGTGGGTCTGGATCTGGTTAGTCTGGATCTGGTGGGTCTGGATCTGGTGAGTCTGGATCTGGTGAGTCTGGATCTGGTGGGTCTGGATCTGGTGGGTCTGGATCTGGTGGGTCTGGATCTGGTGGGTCTGGATCTGGTGGGTCTGGATCTGGTGAGTCTGGATCTGGTGAGTCTGGATCTGGTGAGTCTGGATCTGGTGGGTCTGGATCTGGTTAGTCTGGATCTGGTGGATCTGGTTAGTCTGGATCTGGTTAGTCTGGATCTGGTGAGTCTGGATCTGGTGGGTCTGGATCTGGTTAGTCTGGATCTGGTGAGTCTGGATCTGGTGGGTCTGGATCTGGTTAGTCTGGTTCTGGTGGATCTGGATCTGGTTAGTCTGGATCTGGTTAGTTTGGATCTGGTGGGTCTGGATCTGGGATGTCTGGATCTGGTGGGTCTGGATCTGGTGAGTGTGGATCTGGTGGATCTGGTGTGTCTGGATCTGGTGGATCTGGTTAGTCTGGATCTGGTTAGTCTGGATCTGGTGGATCTGGATCTGGTTAGTCTGGATCTGGTGGATCTGGATCTGGTTAGTCTGGATCTGGTGAGTCTGGATCTGGTGGGTCTGGATCTGGTTAGTCTGGATCTGGTGGATCTGGATCTGGTGAGTCTGGATCTGGTGAGTCTGGATCTGGTGAGTCTGGATCTGGTGAGTCTGGATCTGGTGAGTCTGGATCTGGTGGGTCTGGATCTGGTGTGTCTGGATCTGGTGGATATGGATCTGGTGGGTCTGGATCTGGTTAGTCTGGATCTGGTGAGTCTGGATCTGGTGGGTCTGGATCTGGTTTGTCTGGATCTGGTTAGTCTGGTTCTGGTTGGTCTGGATCTGGTGGGTCTGGATCTGGTGGGTCTGGATCTGGTTAGTCTGGTTCTGGTGAGTCTGGATCTGGTGGGTCTGGATCTGGTGGGTCTGGATCTGGTGGGTCTGGATCTGGTGGGTCTGGATCTGGTGGATCTGGATCTGGTTAGTCTGGATCTGGTGGGTCTGGATCTGGTGGGTCTGGATCTGGTGGGTCTGGATCTGGTGGATCTGGGTCTGGTTAGTCTGGATCTGGTGATTCTGGTTCGGGTGGGTCTGGATCTGGTTTGTCTGGATCTGATTAGTCTGGTTCTGGTTGGTCTGGATCTGGTGGGTCTGGATCTGGTGGGTCTGGATCTGGTTAGTCTGGATCTGGTGAGTCTGGATCTGGTGGATCTGGATATGGTGAGTCTGGATATGGTGGGTCTGGTTCTGGTGGGTCTGGTTCTGGTTAGTCTGGATCTGGTTAGTCTGGATCTTTTGGATTTGGATCTGGTGAGTCTGGTTCTGGTGAGTCTGGTTCTGGTGGATCTGGATCTGGTTAGTCTGGATCTGGTGAGTCTGGATCTGGTGGGTCTGGATCTGGTGGATCTGGATCTGGTGAGTCTGGATCTGGTGAGTCTGGATCTGGTGGGTCTGGATCTGGTGTGTCTGGATCTGGTGGATCTGGATCTGGTTAATCTGGATCTGGTGAGTCTGGATCTGGTGGGTCTGGATCTGGTGGGCCTGGATCTGGTGGGCCTGGATCTGGTTAGTCTGGATCTGGTGAGTCTGGATCTGGTAAGTCTGGATCTGGTGGGTCTGGATCTGGTGGGTCTGGATCTGGTGAGTCTGGATCTGGTGGGTCTGGTGAGTCTGGTTCTGGTGGGTCTGGATCTGGTTAGTCTGGTTCTGGTGGATCTGGTGAGTCTGGTTCTGGTGGGTCTGGATCTGGTGAGTCTGGATCTGGTGAGTCTGGATCTGGTGAGTCTGGATCTGGTGAGTCTGGATCTGGTGGGTCTGGATCTGGTGTGTCTGGATCTGGTGGATATGGATCTGGTGGGTCTGGATCTGGTTAGTCTGGATCTGGTGAGTCTGGATCTGGTGGGTCTGGATCTGGTTTGTCTGGATCTGGTTAGTCTGGTTCTGGTTGGTCTGGATCTGGTGGGTCTGGATCTGGTGGGTCTGGATCTGGTTAGTCTGGTTCTGGTGAGTCTGGATCTGGTGGGTCTGGATCTGGTGGGTCTGGATCTGGTGGGTCTGGATCTGGTGGGTCTGGATCTGGTGGATCTGGATCTGGTTGGTCTGGATCTGGTGGGTCTGGATCTGGTGGGTCTGGATCTGGTGGGTCTGGATCTGGTGGATCTGGGTCTGGTTAGTCTGGATCTGGTGATTCTGGTTCGGGTGGGTCTGGATCTGGTTTGTCTGGATCTGATTAGTCTGGTTCTGGTTGGTCTGGATCTGGTGGGTCTGGATCTGGTGGGTCTGGATCTGGTGGGTCTGGATGTGGTTAGTCTGGATCTGGTGAGTCTGGATCTGGTGGGTCTGGATCTGGTGGGTCTGGATCCGGTGGGTCTGGATCTGGTGAGTCTGGATCTGGTGGGTCTGGATCTGGTGGATCTGGATCTGGTTAGTCTGGATCTGGTGGATTTGGATCTGGTGAGTCTGGTTCTGGTGGATCTGGTGAGTCTGGTTCTGGTGGGTCTGGATCTGGTTAGTCTGGATCTGGTGGATCTGGTGAGTCTGGATCTGGTGGGTCTGGATCTGGTGGGTCTGGATCTGGTGAGTCTGGATCTGGTGAGTCTGGATCTGGTGAGTCTGGATCTGGTGGGTCTGGATCTGGTGTGTCTGGATCTGGTGGGTCTGGATCTGGTTAGTCTGGATCTGGTTAGTCTGGATCTGGTGGGTCTGGATCTGGTGGGTCTGGATCTGGTTAGTCTGGATCTGGTGAGTCTGGATCTGGTGGGTCTGGATCTGGTGGGTCTGGATCTGGTGGGTCTGGACCTGGTGAGTCTGGATCTGGTGAGTCTGGATCTGGTGAGTCTGGATCTGGTTAGTCTGGATCTGGTGAGTCTGGATCTGGTGGGTCTGGATCTGGTGAGTCTGGATCTGGTGAGTCTGGATCTGGTGGGTCTGGATCTGGTGGATCTGGTTAGTCTGGATCTGGTGGGTCTGGATCTGGTTAGTCTGGATCTGGTGGATTTGGATCTGGTGAGTCTGGTTCTGGTGGATCTGGATCTGGTGAGTCTGGTTCTGGTGGGTCTGGATCTGGTTAGTCTGGATCTGGTGGATCTGGTGAGTCTGGTTCTGGTGGGTCTGGATCTGGTTAGTCTGGATCTGGTGAGTCTGGATCTGGTGGGTCTGGATATGGTGGATCTGGTTCTGGTGGGTCTGGATCTGGTTAGTCTGGATCTGGTGGATCTGGTTAGTGTGGATCTGGTGGATCTGGTTCTGGTGGGTCTGGATCTGGTTAGTCTAGATCTGGTGGGTCTGGATCTGGTGGGTCTGGATCTGGTGGGTCTGGATCTGGTGAGTCTGGATCTGGTGGGTCTGGATATGGTGGATCTGGTTCTGGTGGGTCTGGATCTGGTTAGTCTGGATCTGGTGAGTCTGGATCTGGTGGGTCTGGATATGGTGGATCTGGTTCTGGTGGGTCTGGATCTGGTTAGTCTGGATCTGGTGGATCTGGTTAGTGTGGATCTGGTGGATCTGGTTCTGGTGGGTCTGGATCTGGTTAGTCTAGATCTGGTGGGTCTGGATCTGGTGGGTCTGGATCTGGTGGGTCTGGATCTGGTGAGTCTGGATCTGGTGGGTCTGGATATGGTGGATCTGGTTCTGGTGGGTCTGGATCTGGTTAGTCTGGATCTGGTGGATCTGGATCTGGTTAGTGTGGATCTGGTGAGTCTGGTTCTGGTGGGTCTGGATCTGGTGGGTCTGGATCTGGTTACTCTGGATCTGGTGGGTCTGGATCTGGTGGGTCTGGATCTGGTGGGTCTGGATCTGGTGAGTCTGGATCTGGTGAGTCTGGATCTGGTGGATCTGGATCTGGTGAGTCTGGTTCGGGTGGGTCTGGATCTGGTTTGTCTGGATGTGGTTAGTTCGGTTCTGGTTGGTCTGGATCTGGTGGGTCTGGATCTGGTGGGTCTGGATCTGGTTAGTCTGGATCTGGTTAGTCTGGATCTGGTTAGTCTGGATCTGGTGAGTCTGGTTCTGGTGGGTCTGGATCTGGTTAGTCTGGATCTGGTTAGTCTGGATCTCGTTAGTCTGGATTTGGTTAGTCTGGATCTGGTTAGTCTGGATTTGGTTAGTCTGGATCTGGTTAGTCTGGATCTGGTTAGTCTGGATCTGGTGGATCTGGATCTGGTTAGTCTGGATTTTATGGATGTGGATCTGGTTAGTCTGGATCTGGTGGGTCTGGATCTGGTTAGTCTGGATCTGGTTAGTCTGGATTGGATGGATCTGGATCTGATTAGTCTGGATCTGGTGGGTCTGGATCTGGATCTGGTTAGTCTGGATCTGGTTAGTCTGGATTTGATGGATCTGGATCTGGTTATTCTGGATCTGGTGGATCTGGATCTGGTTAGTCTGGATCTGGTTAGTCTGGATCTGGTGGATCTGGATCTGGTTAGTCTGGTTCTGGTTAGTCTGGATCTGGTGGGTCTGGATCTGGATCTGGTTAGTCTGGATCTGGTTAGTCTGGATCTGGTGGGTCTGGATCTGGATCTGGTTAGTCTGGATCTGGTGGATCCGGATCTGGTTAGTCTGGATCTGGTTAGTCTGGAGCTGGTTAGTCTGGATCTGGTGGGTCTGGGTCTGGTCCACAGCGGATTCTTCAGGCAGGTATAAAGCGAAGGAGATCATGTCGTGGTTATCGGTGATAGACTTCCTGTGCTGGATCTAATTTCAGGACTTTTACGTTTGTTCTTTTAATCCAATATTGACGGTAAAGAGTGAATGAAAAACTAACTAACTGAATCATTACCCCCATGTTCAGATGCACCAGTACAGACTGATGACACCGTCCGATACCCCCCCCCCCCTTCATTCGGTGAACCAGGCGATCAGACGTGGAGGAAACAGTCCAATCAGACGGACCAAGCAGGTGGTTGCTCCATGCAGACGGAGCCAGCAGGTGGTTGCTCCATGCAGACGGAGCAAGCAGGTGGTTGCTCCATGCAGACGGAGCAGGCAGGTGGTTGCTTCATGCAGACGGACCAAGCAGGTGGTTGCTCCATGCAGACGGAGCAGGCAGGTGGTTGCTCCATGCAGACGGAGCAGGCAGGTGGTTGCTTCATGCAGACGGAGCAAGCAGGTGGTTGCTCCATGCAGACGGAGCAAGCAGGTGGTTGCTTCATGCAGACGGAGCAAGCAGGTGGTTGCTTCATGCAGACGGAGCAAGCAGGTGGTTGCTCCATGCAGACGGAGCAAGCAGGTGGTTGCTCCATGCAGACGGAGCAAGCAGGTGGTTGCTCCATGCAGACGGAGCAAGCAGGTGGTTGCTTCATGCAGACGGAGCAAGCAGGTGGTTGCTTCATGCAGACGGAGCAGGCAGGTGGTTGCTCCATGCAGACTGAGCAGGCAGGTGGTTGCTTCATGCAGACGGACCAAGCAGGTGGTTGCTCCATGCAGACGGAGCAGGCAGGTGGTTGCTTCATGCAGACGGACCAAGCAGGTGGTTGCTCCATGCAGACGGAGCAGGCAGGTGGTTGCTTCATGCAGACGGAGCAAGCAGGTGGTTGCTCCATGCAGACGGAGCAAGCAGGTGGTTGCTCCATGCAGACGGAGCAAGCAGGTGGTTGCTCCATGCAGACGGAGCAAGCAGGTGGTTGCTCCATGCAGACGGAGCAAGCAGGTGGTTGCTCCATGCAGACGGAGCAAGCAGGTGGTTGCTCCATGCAGACGGAGCAAGCAGGTGGTTGCTCCATGCAGACGGAGCAAGCAGGTGGTTGCTTCATGCAGACGGAGCAAGCAGGTGGTTGCTTCATGCAGACGGAGCAGGCAGGTGGTTGCTCCATGCAGACTGAGCAGGCAGGTGGTTGCTTCATGCAGACGGACCAAGCAGGTGGTTGCTCCATGCAGACTGAGCAGGCAGGTGGTTGCTTCATGCAGACGGACCAAGCAGGTGGTTGCTCCATGCAGACGGAGCAGGCAGGTGGTTGCTTCATGCAGACGGACCAAGCAGGTGGTTGCTCCATGCAGACGGAGCAGGCAGGTGGTTGCTCCATGCAGACGGAGCAAGCAGGTGGTTGCTTCATGCAGACGGAGCAAGCAGGTGGTTGCTTCATGTCTCCCCTGAAGGCCTTACCTGAGTCTCAGCAGCTGGAGCTCCTGCAGCTCCCCAACAGCTCTGGGTAAACTGCTCAGCTGGTTGTCATGGAGCTGCAGGAACAAAGGAAAGCTTGGATCACAAAGAAAGCCAATAAAAACACTCAGAGCAGCAGAGGGGCCCTCATGGTGAAGGGCCCCTTAGAGGATCACATGGAGGGCCCCAGGGGTCAGAGCTGCAGGGTCAGGGCTGCAGGGTCAGAGCTGCAGGATCAGAGCTGCAGGATCAGAGCTGCAGGATCAGAGCTGCAGGGTCAGGGCTGCAGGGTCAGATACTCACATCCAGGGCGGTGAGCGCTGGGAGCAGCTGGATGTCTTCAGAGAGCTCAGTCAGGCGGTTGGAGGACAGCAGCAGCTTGGTCAGGTCCGTCTGCTCCCACCATCGATCTGATCCTGTGAAGGACACGTCCTCCTTGGCTTCTGCTGGTTCGTCCACGTTAAGCCGGTAAACGCTCTGAGGGACTGAACAGGAAGACATCTAAGACCAGAGAACCAGAGCCAGCTGAGGGGGAGGGGCTTAGAGCTGGGCGAGATACGGGGAGGAAGGACAGAACGTCCAGCGGGGGAATAATAACAGAAAATCCCTAAAGCTCAGATCTATGCTCTGATGGGGCGCTGTTTGAAAAGCTTTCAGGTCAAAAATGTATATTTATGATTATCTAGTGTTTTAGGAGGACAATAAGGGCTTATTTGTTCCTAATCATTTTTCACTTTGTCTTTAGATCATTTATAAAACGTTCCAGAATAAATATTTATTAGTTTTTAATATTTATTGAATAAACAAAATATTTGGTGTTAAATGAGGATGATGTAACCAGAACTACACTATTGTCCTAATTTCCACAGCAACACTGTAATGTCCCTTTAAAAGGTTTCTATGAAAGGTTGTTTGGGTAGTTGCTATGGAGTTGCTATACATCACAGCAGTGACATGGTGAAGTAAAGCCAAGGTAAATATTGCTGGAAATGAAAATATTTTCATTGTTTATAATTTCCAAACATGCCGTAACATCAACTCAGTTTGGAAACTAATATGATAATATTATAAAATAACACTTTTTTAGACAACTTTTGACATGTTTCTAACTATAATTTACATGCTAAACATTTTGCGGTGGTGCCAGCCCCCCCTCTCTCCCACCCTTAGTACCACCTATGCATAACTGCAATTAATTTATTATTTAATTAAGTATTTATTCATCATTATTATTTATTATAATGCTTCATAAAGTTTATAAAAAGAAAGGTTTGTTATCTTTTTTTACCTGATCTATAAATGTCTGCGTTTAACAATAAAGGCATAAACAATTCAAACTATATATGAAATTGTTCTTCCAGTGAAAAAATATTATGTGTATCAAAGTATTTTAGAATAAATGACAAATATTTACATGTGATGGAAACATCTGTGCCCGCCCAGTTCTGTTAAAAAAAAAAACATCAATTTGTCTTAAAAATTCAGTTTGTTTTCTTATGAATCTTCAAACTAGAATAATTATGCTAACTGATCACATTGTGACAATTTATAGTTTATTATACTTTTTGTCTTAATGTTTGCAAGGCCAATAGTGCCCGTATTAGAGAATCGTATATATTTAGTTATATGTATATAAACATCTCTAATATTAGCTTAAAGCCCTGAAAAAGGACAGATTAGCAGCTATTTTCTCCCTTCTGGAGTTCCAGAGTGGTGACTGGCGATGTGCTGCCAAACTTGTGGAAAGTTATCCTTCCAGTCCTGACATCAATAATACTCTAGCTGAAGGCTACGCTAAGTAGCGACCAAACCCCTCTGCACTCGCTGGATCGAGTCACACCACCTGAACGTACCGTTTGATTTTTCTGCCTGCAAATCAAACCGAGTTTAAGGCAGTATTTCCTGAATCCTGCAGAGCAGAGGAGAGCTAATGCAGCTCTGCTAACCTAAAACCGCCAAAAGGAGCAACAGCGGGGCCCAGAGATTGATGTTCACCAAAGCAGGTGTTAGAAGCTGCCGACCCGTGACTGTTCCTGCCTGATAGGGGCCCCTGAGGAGCAGCTACAAGATGGCCGCGGCTACCATTCAACTGCCATGACTAATTTTTTTCCCCCCCAGCTTTTATAATCTATCTCTGTTACAGGGATATGTACCTAAAGCTTTTAAGGTTGCTGGAATTAAACCTCTGCCTAAGAAACTGTCTCTTGACCCAGATGACTTGGTCAATTATAGACCTATATCCAATCTTCCTTTCTGATCTAAAATTCTTGAGAAAGTAGTTGCCAAACAAGTTTGCGATCACTTCCACCATAATGAACTTTTTGAAGAGTTTCAGTCTGGCTTTAGAGCTCATCATAGCACTGAAACAGCTCTGGTGAAAGTCACTAATGATATTCTCATGGCCTCAGATAATGGACTTGTATCTGTGCTCGTCCTGTTGGATCTCAGTGCTGCGTTTGATCCAGTTGATCATAATATTCTTTTAGAAAGACTTGAATATTTTGTTGGAATTAAAGGAACAGATCTAGACTGGTTTAAATCTGATCTATCTGATCGATTTCAGTTTGTTCATGTTAATGATAGATCTTCAACAGCCCCCTGGGTGTCAAGGAAAAAAAAAAGCCGGTGGAAATCCGTGGGCACAGATTGATAAACTTCTCTCGGTTTTCCGATCCATGCGCTAGCATCCATAAACTGTGCTCTCGGTTTTCCGATCCGTGCACTAGCATCCATAAACTGTGCTCTCAGTTTTCCGATCTGTGCGCTAGCATCCATAAACTGTGCTCTCGGTTTTCCGATCCATGCACTAACATCCATAAACTGTGCTCTCGGTTTTCCGATCCGTGCGCTAGCATCCATAAACTGTGCTCTCAGTTTTCCGATCTGTGCGCTAGCATCCATAAACTGTGCTCTCGGTTTTCCGATCAGTGCGCTAGCATCAATAAACTGTGCTCTCGGTTTTCCGATCCGTGCACTAGCATCCATAAACTGTGCTCTCGGTTTTCCGATTCGTGCGCTAGCATCCACAAACTGTGCTCTCGGTTTTCCGATCTGTGCGCTAGCATCAATAAACTGTGATCTCGGTTTTCCGATCCGTGCGCTAGCATCAATAAACTGTGCTCTCGGTTTTCCGATCCGTGCGCTAGCATCAATAAACTGTGCTCTCAGTTTATTAATCAGTGCGCTAGCATCCATAAACTGTGCTCTCGGTTTATTGATCCGTGCGCTAGCATCCATAAACTGTGCTCTCGGTTTATTGATCCATGCGCTAGCATCAATAAACTGTGCTCTCGGTTTATTGATCCGTGCGCTAGCATCAATAAACTGTGCTCTCGGTTTATTGATCCGTGCGCTAGCATCAATAAACTGTGCTCTCGGTTTATTGATCCGTGCGCAAGCATCCATAAAATGTGCTCTCGGTTTATTGATCCGTGCGCTAGCATCCATAAACTGTGCTCTCGGTTTATTGATCCGTGCGCTAGCATCAATAAACTGTGCTCTCGGTTTATTGATCCGTGCGCTAGCATCAATAAACTGTGCTCTCGGTTTATTGATCCGTGCGCTAGCATCAATAAACCGTGTGCCCTGCTTTGCATTCCGTGAGCACACAGCTGCTCCGGAACCTTCGGAGTTGGATGCATGGGTCGCACCTACACCCAGGGGGCTCTGTACAATTTCAAGGGAACTTAAATGGGGAAAAAAAGAAAAGCAATTAAAAAAAATAATCCCAGATTATTTTTCTAACTGTAGTTCTGTTTTCTACCAGTAGGTGGCGACATGGAGCAATCTAGTATAAATGATCTCTCCCCTTCTGTTTCCTTCTCCATCATTTTTAACAATTACAGATTTTTGAACGCTGTATAATCTTCTTCCTTTCTCATTTTTTGCCATAATTCTGTTTCTTTCTTTTTAATGGTTGATTTCCAAATGGAATCTGGTCTTTATTCTGCTTTCCTAAAGCTTTTTTCAGCTTTTTTATCTCGTCTGCTGTTTCATTTCCTCTGTCTGCTGGAACCCAACATCTATTCCATTCCTAAATGATCTAAACAAACTGATGAATTTATAATATAAGCTCTTTCCTGTTATTTCCTCCTGAATTAATGTTTTCTGTTGCAGCTTTAGAATCTGTCCGGTCTGACCTCCTCCTCCTGGAAACATAATTGCTACCATTTCTGCTGTGTTTATAGATAAAATGTCTGTTAATCTTTGACATATATTAAACTCTGGAATGAATATCTCTTATTCCCACATTTCCCTTTGAACCATCTGTGTAAATTTTTATATAAGTATAATAAAATTGTCTAATATATAAACTAGTTTTAAGCCCAACTTCATTATGTTTCAATTCTCTTTTCATTTCATGTATTTTCAAGTCAGCTATTGTTTCTGCAAACAGCCGTGGTGCTGCAGCACTGATGGGACTAACGCCGTTACCTTGTTTTAGTAACGAGTAATCTAACTAATTGTTTTTTCAATGTAACGTGCCCAACACTGGTGCTGCAGCACTGATGGGTTATCTATAGAGAATATCTGATCATCCATTCATTCAGTCCAGCTGAAGCCATTTCTTGTAAATATTCCCAACAGTCTTAATGATGCTGCTGCTGAGTTTCCTTCACTGAAGCTTTTAATTCTGATCCAATGTGAAAATTAGAACAGCATTATTGGGGTTAGGGATGCAGGATATTGGGATTTTGGCCGATATCCGATATTTTAAAACTCATGTAGCCGATAACCGATATCGATACCGATGTTAAAGCTGGACAAAAATAAGTAGTCATTGAAAATAGCAGTTTTGTTATCCATTTCTGACACTTTGAAAATAATAAACTCAAATATATTTTCATATGCTGATATCAAATTGATTTTTAAAAACGCGGTATCGATCTATTTTACTTTCAAAATCTGGTGAAATTTCATCGTTCTGTTACAAACTCTCGTGATATTTTGCAAATTCTTGTGAGATTTTGTTAGTAAAATAGGTCGATACCGCGTCAATATATCAACATATAAAAATATGGCAACATTTGGTGAATTTTCGGGGGATTTCGTAGCATAACGATGACATATAACAATATTTCATTAGTAAAAGAGATTGATATGGTGTTTTTAAATGGCAATATATCAGCATATGAAGATATTGGGATATTTTAATGGATCAATATTTTTTCCCTCGTCTTTAAAAGTTTTTAAGTCTGTAAAAAAGACGTTTTTGAGGAAGAAGAAGAAGTAGTATTTTTTTTTTTTTTTAGACTTTAGAAACTCAGAAGCTGATCAAATATCGGGTTAAATATCGGTGGGGGGGCCGATGTCCGATATTCAGTTTTAAGGCCGATACCGATAGGGGGCCGATTATATCCTGCATGCCTAAATGGGGTAGTTTAGTTGCTCCAGTAGCTTTACTTAACGCCCTATATTGTAATTTATCTGCTGTTTGTAACAATGATTTTGCTGCTGCTCTATATACCATCCATCTATAATCTATTGCTGATCTGCCCGGTAGATATTCAATAGAGATTGCTTATCAGCCCCCCAATCATTCCCAGCCACGGCTTTCAGGTTTATTACTTTCTTTCCTTTTGTTTCTAACTGCTTAATTTTCCCTGAATGTGAACCATCTCACCATAATCCTAAATGTTTGAATTCTGTCCCTCTTTTAATAGATTGATCATATAATTTTATTTCTCCTATATCCATATTTCTTTTATCACTGAAAATCATTAAACAGGATTTACTGACAGTTTGAATCTCCAATCATGTGACCATTTTTCTATTTTATTAACGGCTCTCTTTATATTTTTAACTACGAACGAGTCATTCCTTCCCCTCGACCGTATGGATCCATCATCTGCATAAAGTGCTGATTTAATTCATCTAGAGTTAAGAATATATCATTAATCATAATATTGACAGGACTAATTACACTCCCTTGAGGAACGCCGTTTTCTATTTTAACATCTTTCAAGTATTCGTCTCCAACTGTAACTGTTGCTATCCAGTTAAACATTCTTCCACCTTCCCTTATTCACTAAATCAATAAACCTTCCCTCCACAGTCAGTCAGATGCTTTTCCAATGTCCGAAAACTGCTCATTTTTAGTCCCTGTTCTACGTCATTAGATTCTCACCACAGCATCTATTGTAGACCTCCCTGCTCTAGAATAAACCCTCTCCTCTTTCCTAACATTCTCTCCATCCAGTCACAGCAGTGAATCTTAAAGCTGTTGGTCTGTAATTAACTGAAGAACCTTTTCCTGGTTGATTAAATGGGAGGATTGCTGCACTTTTCCATTCATTAGGAACTTCACCTTCTCTCCAAATTTTATTTAAAAGTTTTAATATTAATTTTAATGTTGTTTCTGGTTAATCTTCTACACATTGCATCACATAGATCAAGGGTCTGCAACCTATGGCTCCAGAGCCACATGTGGCTCTTTGGACCCTCTGCAGCGGCTCATAAAGTGGCTAAAATGTATATAAAAACCTAAATAATGTACTACAAAATAAATACCAGTCTTAAAAGCTTTAGTGTTTTTTATAAGATGGATAAGAAGGACATTAAAAGAACCAGAAATATGTTTTTAGAGTCACTTTCCTTTTAATTAGCTTGGAATTTATGTGTTTTAATATTATTTTAAAAGATAAAATACATACATTGTTGGTTGTTTAAGATGGCAACTAATTTCCTATACTAGATAATAAAAAAAACAAATTGTTTTTCTAAAATGTCATCTAACTTGCGGCTCTAAAGAGCTTTTACTTGGTCAGACTCAGAGCAAAATGGCTCTTTGGATATGAAAGGTTGCAGACCCCTGACATAGATCATCATCTCCTAGAGCTCAGTATCCAGTATCTTTTATAGCTGTTTTTATTCCATTCATACTTATTTCTCAATTTATTGCTGAAACTGATCCATTTTTCTTTCTTTTTGTAAATATAATTAAATTATTTGAGTTTTTGTTCTTCCTATGAATATTTCCTGGCTGTTCACTATTCACTGCAGTAAAACCAGAACTTTATTTAAGGCCAAAGATCATTAACAGCAGACAGTGATTCACATCTGACTTCTACTTTAATATTGACCAAACATTTGATTATTTAACTTCTGCTCCTCTGGAACAAAAACTTTCATTTTTAGCCTCTTTAATTGTTTTATTAGCCTTTCCTGCTTATTATGTAATTCAGTTCTATTCAGTTTATTTCTATAGATCCAATTCACATCATGTCATCTCAGGGCACTTTATAGATCCAGGTCATCCAGTCAGATTGATTCAAAGTTTAATAAAATATTTATATTTTTATTCAAAGTTTTATAAGATTTTCTCCTGTCATAATTTTCCCATGTTGCTTTGAATGCTTTATTGCTGCGGTCCTCTTCCACCATGGCCTAGCCCTGGCTTTCCTTTAGTTGTTGATTTTGGACCAAGTTCTGCAGGGACACGCCCCCTTCCCAGAGGACACGCCCCCTCCAACAGGGACCCCGCCCCCCTTCCCGCAGGGACCCGCCGCTGTCCCGCTTCTTTTCCCCGCAGAAACCTTCTTCCTCCAGCGGCTCTTACCTTCCAGCAAGCCCCGCCCGGACAGGTTAAGATGGCCGCTCTTCCTGGCCGCCTTCAGTAACCCGCAGGGAACCGCAGCTTCCGGCTGGGAGCTCCGGAATCCCGCCAGACTGTCGACGTTAGCCGCCCTTTTCAACCGGGACATGTTCGTTGATAGAGCCGAGCAGAGCTGGCTGCCCGCCGGGTAACAGCCTCCTCCTCACCGGATGCTGGAATCAACCACACGCCTTCCTCTTCCGCCCCGAACCTTCACAATAAAAGCCGCTCAAACCATAGACATTATACATAGACACTATACACATAGACACTATACACATAGACATTATAGACAGATCTATCTCTACGGTTCAATCTTCCAAGTGAATAAATTAATTTGGGGCAACAGCTAAAGATTATTTTGCAAATTGATTAATTTGTTGATTATTTATTCAATGAATCGATTCATAATCTTTTAGCCAAAGTTTCCTTAAAGAAGATTTTTTATAAGATCAACGCAGGTGAAACTCAAACTTTATATTTGTGGAGTTCTAGATAGAGCAGACAAAAACATTTTTTTTTATTATCTTAAATGCTACATTTTTACATATTTTCCTTTACATTTTTCGCTGCTCTGACTGCGTCGCTCTGTTGACTAAAGTTTTATTTTAGATTCTCTATCATGCAGTTAAACATTAATCCATTACTAAATTAATTGATTTTTATTTCAATAAACAATTAATCATGATTAATCTGATTAATTGTTTCAGCCCTAGTTTAATCACTAAAATCCAAAAAAAATAAATAAATAAAAACTTTCACATTTATTTACCAACCTAAATAAAATAAACATTATAATAGTAAATGAAGATACAGGTAGTAAATAAAAAACTTGTAGAATCTGAGTGTTGGTTGAATTCCTGCTCCAGAACAGTTCAATCAAACGGCTGAATTGGGCGCGGTGGTTGGAGCACATGACCCATCTAAGGAGGCCTCGACGCGGCCCACCGCTGTTTGGGTCCGGCCTGCGGTCCTTTCCCTCATCCCCCCCTCTCGTGCCCCCCTTTAGTTTATCAGTTTATCGGTGCTAATTAAATTCGAAGAAGAGCAATTACCCAGCAAAGTATTCATCGGTTACATCAGCTATAATGTCAAAATCTACAATCCTCCACCATTTAGATGCTTTAAATGCCAAAAATTCAGACACATAGCAGCAGTTTGTAAAGGAAAACAGAGGCGTGGAAGGTCTGCAGGAGAGCATGAGTATGGAAAATGTGGAAAAGAAGCTAAAATAAAATGCTGTAACTGTGGTGGAGAACATTCTGCTGCTTATCGTGGCTGTGAAGCAGCAAAAGGTCTGAGGAAATAAAAAAATGAAATTTGAGCTCAGAATAACTTTCAATTCAATTCAGTTTATTTATATAGCGCCAAATTCACAACACATGTCATCTCAAGGCACTTTACAGTTCAACCAGATCATACAGTCAAATTGATACAAAGTTTTCTATCTAAGGAAAACCAGTTGATTGCATCGACTCATTGACTCAAATACAATCCCTCACACTAAGCATGCTTGTAGCGACAGTGGAGAGGAAAAACTCCCTTTTAACAGGAAGAAACCTCCAGCAGAACCAGGCTCAGTGTGAGCGGCCATCTGCCGAGGCCGACTGGGGTTCAAGGAGACAGAAGCAGAGATACAAAAAGCAGCTGTAAAAGGCGGCCCCGTCCAGGAAACACACAGCCAGGCAGACGAGCTCCAAGGCAGCTCCCATGTCAGAGGATGAAGAGAGCACATCCACTCAGTCACGGTCAGAGAAACAGGACCACACTGGAAAACAGGCCGATCTCCAACATCTATAAACAAGGGTGTTGATAGAAGCAGCACAGCTGATGTTTCTTTCCAGGATGACGTCACAGCCAAACAGGAACAGACGAGGCAAAGCTACTCTGAGGAAAAGCAGAGAGAGCAGAACGTTAGAGATTGAACTAACAGATTCTGCAGAGTGGGAGAATAGAGATAGAATGAAGCAGAATGATGAAAAAGGGGTCCCTATGTCCTCCAGCAGTCTAAGCCTATAGCAGCAGAACTATAGAGATAGATCAGGATAACCCGAGCCACTCTAACTAGAAGCTTTATCAAAAAGGAAAGTTTTAAGCCTAGCCTTAAAAGTAGACAGGGTGTCTGCCTCACGGACTAAAACTGGTAGTTGGTTCCACAGGAGAGGAGCCTGATAACTAAAAGATCTGCCTCCCATTCTACTTTTAGAAATTCTAGGAACCACTAGTAAACCTGCAGATTGAGAGCGAAGTGCTCTGTTAGGAACATAAGGAACAATCAGATCTCTGATATCAGATGGAGCTTGGCCATTTAAGGCTTTATATGTGAGAAGGAGGATTTTAAATTCTATTCTGGATTTAACAGGAAGCCAATGAAGAGAAGCCAGGATAGGAGAGATATGATCTCTCTTTTTCATTTCCATCAGAACTCTGGCTGCAGCATTTTGGATCAGCTGAAGGCTTTTAACTACAGTTTGTGGACTTCCTGATAGTAAAGAATTACAATAGTCCAGCCTTGAAGTAACAAATGCATGGACTAGTTTCTCAGCATCACCCCTGGACAGGATATTTCTAATTTTTGCAATGTTCCTCAGATGAAAGAACGAAATTCTAGAAACCTCTTTGATCTGGGATTTAAATGACAGGTCCTGATCAAAAATAACACCAAGATTTTTTACTTTATTATCTGAAATCAGTTTAATCCCATCCAAATGAAGTGACTGGCTAATCAGTTTCTTTTTCAGAGACTCTGGTCCAAAGACTATAACTTCTGTTTTGTCTGCATTCAGAAGCAGAAAGTTTAGAGTCATCCAGGTTTTTATGTCTTCAAGACATGCCTGTAATCTATGTAATGGGTTAGCTTCATCTGGATTTATAGACAGATATAGCTGGGTATCATCAGCATAACAGTGGAAATTAATCCCATGCTGTCTAATAACTCTACCAATTGGGAGCATGTATAAAGTAAAGAGAATTGGTCCTAGCACTGATCCCTGTGGTACTCCACAGGTAACCTTTGAGCGTGTTGAAGATCAATCATTAACATGAACAAACTGAATTCGATCAGATAGATAGGATTTAAACCAGTCTAGTGCTGTTCCTTTAATTCCAACAAAATATTCAAGTCTTTCTAAAAGAATATTATGGTCAACTGTATCAAATGCAGCACTAAGATCCAACAGGACGAGCACAGATGCAAGTCCATTATCTGAGGCCATGAGAATATCATTAGTGACTTTCACCAGAGCTGTTTCAGTGCTATGATGAGCTCTAAAGCCAGACTGAAACTCTTCAAAAAGTTCATTATGGTGGAAGTGATCGCAAACTTGTTTGGCAACTACTTTCTCAAGAATTTTGGATAAGAAAGGAAGATTGGATATAGGTCTATAATTGACCAAGTCATCTGGGTCAAGAGACGGTTTCTTAAGCAGAGGTTTAATTACAGCAACCTTAAAAGCTTTAGGTACATATCCCTGTAACAGAGATAGATTAATCACATCTAAAATGGAGGAGGAGATCAAAGGGAATACCTCCTTAAATAACCTGGTTGGAACTGGATCTAACATACAAGTTGAAGGCTTAGATGAAGACAATAATTTTGCTAATTCAGAGAGTTCAACTGGATCAAAGCAGTCTAAACCCGGTTCAGATTCCATGACTACCTCAGGTACAATCGCGGATAGAGGAGTGCTTATGATCTTATTTTTAATAAGATCAATCTTATTTATAAAGAATCCCATAAAATCATTGCTGCTAAGAGCAGGTGGAATGGACGGTTCAACAGAGCTATGGCTCTGGGTGAGTTTGGCAACTGGATTAAAAAGAAATCTAGGATTATTCTTATTCTCCTCTATTAATGAGGAGAAGTATGCTGCTCTTGCTTTACAAAGAGTCCTCTTATACAGCAGTAAACCATTTTTCCAGACTTGGAAGGACTCTCGCAGGCCTGTGGAGCGATATTTTCTCTCCAGTTTCCTAGCATTTTGCTTCAAAGTACGCAGCTCTGCATTAAACCAACTTAAGCTGAAGCTGCTAAAAGGATCCCATCTCAGTTAGAAAACCAACAGTTCAACACACGGCAGATTCCAAACCTCTGGAGAAATGTCCCAAAATTGATGAAGACTCACCAATTGTTAAAAAGAGAAATTTTGTTCTATTCATGGTGGAAGTGATTAATTGTACTGCACAGACGACAAGAAAAAACGAAAAAATCAAAATAATAGTGAAAGCTGCAGAAAAATATCTGGAAGTGAAAGATTTGAACTGGGAGATGGTTGGAAGCATGATGGGAGGACCGATGGGACCATCAGAAACTGGCAGAGTGACGATGACTTAAAGATAAATTAACATTATAAGGGCAAATGTGGTTTATTATGTTGGGTTAAGTTACACAGGTTTTTTTTTGTTTCTGGGGTGAATCGTTTCCTGTTTCCTTGCTTTACTCCATATCAGTTGGTGGCAGTAATGCACATTTCACAAGTTTGCCAACCACCATAAAACCTCAGAAGAAGAAGAACCTTGTCACCAGAGTGTCTGCCAGTATTGGGTCCTCTAGCCTCTCAGAGCTTTGGGTTTTCGTCTCTCTCAGTCCTCTGGTCGAACCCTTTGTCTCCTTTGTGGTTTCCGGCAGGATTATCTCCTGATCCACTGGATAAACCTGGTCCTTCAAGCCTTGGGAACCCATTGGTCACTCTGAGATTCTAGAAAACATTCACCGCTTCAGTTTGCAGGCCACCTCATGAAAACTGGTTGACAGTCCTCTGGACCACAACCAGTCTGCCCGTCCGCCCTCCAGCCAAGCATCACCTTTTCTGTGCGGTCCCCACAAACAGGAAACATGGAGCAACCACTAGTCATAAACTGTGAGTCCTTATCTGGCTAAGTTTCAGTAGTGGCCTGTAAATCCCATGGACCATGAACTCACCACTCTGATCTCCCTCTAGAGGTTCCGGTTCACCTGACCGCTGGACATTCACCAAGCTGAGAATCCCTTTGTTTTGTCCCTCTGAGTTCCTCACCTTCACAATAAACAGTTTAACTTTCACCCTGCCTCTGGGTTCTTTCTGCATGTGGGCAAACTTTCAAACACACCATGACACCATGACTACCTCAGATGCTATCCCCCCCTCCCTCCAGAGACAAACCAATCGTAGATAGAGGAGTGCTAATGATCTTATTTTTAATAAGATCAATCTTATTTATAAAGAATCCCATAAAATCATTGCTGCTAAGAGCAGGTGGAATGGACGGTTCAACAGAGCTATGGCTCTGGGTGAGTTTGGCGACTGGATTAAAAAGAAATCTAGGATTATTCTTATTCTCCTCTATTAATGAGGAGAAATATGCTGCTCTTGCTCTACAAAGGGTCCTCTTATACAGCAGTAAACCATTTTTCCAGACTAGGTCCAAGCAACACTGATATTAGTGAACTCCGATCGGCGTAACTGGGTGAACCTCAGCCATCAGTGTCAGATTATCACATTGAAAGTGTTGATTTGGTAAGTTGTCTCCTCCAGATGGACCATCCTCTCTTATTTCTGCTCCTAAACATTCAGCCTGTGAGTCGACGCATGTTCAGCTTCTAAACATGAAGGGGGGACATTTTACAAGCAAATGGGACCTGCAGGTCACCATGGAGGAACATTTCACCCTGTAAACATGGAGAACTAGTGTAAAGTGTTCTACTGCTGCTCATGACATCATATCTCAATAGTTTGTGGAAATAATGAGAAAATGGTTAGAATGATCTTAAAGGCCAACCTGACATCAGTCTGCACCTGGTCTCGTTTGATCTATTCCATCAATGATTTTTAAAGGATTTACTTCTAATAGTATTTTGGGTTGTAGGTGTGGAGCACAGGGTGTCGACGCCCTTTCTTCTCATTCTGTGTAGAACAGTGAGCTCTAGGAATGATTCCACACTGATACGACAACTTTTCAATGAAAAGGGAAACCTGCCCTTTTAAGATTCATATAAGCCTAAAATAGATTGTTGTTTTTGATGCTGTTCCAGCAGCTGTTATAATGTTATTTAAAGGCCGAGACCTCGACCTGATCCAACTGATACTCATGCAGGTCGGCTGTGTTTTCAACCCAAATCTCCTAAAAAATAACAAACATTTTTGCACTTTATTCCAAGATAACTGCATCTCAGTTCCTCATGTTGTTTCTGTCTGGTCTGGTCTCAGAGGTCTGCTAAAACAGAACCTGGTCTCTAGCCAATAAATATTTTCTAGTACACAAGATTAAAGAGGTTTCCTTAAAGATCATTCACCGCTGTTACCCAGTAAAGTACTTTTTGTATAAATAAAAAAACGACATTGAGACCATTTGTACTTTCTGCAACATTTGCTCTGAGTCTCTCTCACCTATGGCAAGCTGTTTGTCACTTCATTCTGCACAATATTTACAACAAATTTGAACTTTATTTTAAAGATGTTTTATTTGGAATTATAGAATATAGAAAAGAACTTTCTGACCATTTCTTTTTATGTAATCTTTTGCTGTTGGCCAAGTTTTACATCCATAAATGTAAATGTATTATGATTAAACCCTCATGTATCGCTTTTTTAAAGGAAGCAACAATTTATTTTTCTACTTTATCCTGTCCCAATAACAAAAAGGCTGCTAAAACTTTATGCTCTGAATTCAAAACATTATGTAATAAATATGCTTTACATGCCTCTATGTGCAGCTTTACATAATCACTTTTGCTATTTTTACGTTTATTCAGTTATTTTTTATTTATAATAACTACTTTTGTTCAAACCCCTGGCGACTGTTCACTGGAAATGTTACTTATTTCTTCTTGTATTACAAAAAATCTCTAATAAACTTTAGAAAAACAATTATGGAACAGTAAGCTCCCTCCCCACCAGCAGGTGGCGGTGATGCTCCATGACGTCAGTCACCAACGGTCGTAGAAGAAGTAGAAGTTGAACTATTGACGGAAGTTGGAGTCACGTGCTGTTTGAGTAAGAACCTTGAAGAGCAACATGGCCGCCTGCTGGAGGATGGCTGGAGCTGTTCGGCCCTTCAGGCACCGAGCGGCGCCGCTGCTGACCGGAGCCGCAGCGCAGAGCCGCGGCCTCAGCGCGCTGCCCGCGGTCCGCCCGGGGCTGCCAGCGGCCCGGCGGTGGCTGCGGGTCGCGGCCGCCCCGCTCCCTCTCAGCCGCTTCCCCGCGTCCAGCCGCGGTGAACACGCGCTGAGTCGATGGTTCGGTACCCGGTCCAGCGGGTCGGGCTTCTCCGGGGAGGACGGTGGAGACAGCGCCGCCTCTGGGGGAGATGAGGCGGGAGGAGGAGACGGGGAAGCCCCTTACAGCGAAGCCCAGATGACGGCTCTGACCCCCATGCTGGTTCCGGAGGTGTTTCCCAACGTGCCGCTGATCGCTGTGAGCCGGAACCCGGTGTTCCCCCGGTTCATCAAGATCATCGAGGTCAGGGTTATGGTGATGATGATGATGATGGGCAGATTATTGTAGAATTACCGCTGAGACGCAGATTGGGATGAAGATTAATTAATTAATGAGGGAAGGCCTCCTGTCATCTTTCCTTCCTCTGGTTCTGGTTTTTCTCTTTCCACTAAAACTCATTCATTACATGACTGACATGACGTCATAAATGTTACATGAGCAGAGAAAACTCGACCCCCCCCCCCCCCCCCCATCTGTGCGTGGGACCCTGAATTCCCCTCAGAGAGAATCTAAACATCCAGATCTACAGAAACAGTTCAGTGAAACTAGAAAAACTGACTTCAGATCAGAGAACAATCCTATTTATTAAAAGCAACACTGAGTGACAGCCAGCCACTAGGGGCGCTGTAGACCTCTGCTGCTATCTGACCCGTTTGGACCAGCAGCTCTAGAAAGACAGGAAACCTTAAAGCTCTGCTGTTGTCCAAACATCCCATAATTATCCATCAATCCATTTTCTGTCACAGGGTGAGGGCTGCTAGAGCCAGCTGTCTACAGGTGAGCTGTCCGCCCTGGACAGAGGGGGGGGTCCGCCCTGGACAGAGAGGGGGGGTCCTCCCTGGACAGAGAGGGGGGGTCCGCCCTGGACAGAGAGGGGGGGTCCGCCCTGGACAGAGAGGGAGGGGGGTCCTCCCTGGACAGAGAGGGGGGGTCCGCCATGGACAGAGAGGGGGGGTCCGCCATGGACAGAGAGGGGGGGTCCTCCCTGGACAGAGAGGGGGGGTCCGCCCTGGACAGAGAGGGGGGGGGGGTCCTCCCTGGACAGAGAGGGGGGGTCCGCCCTGGACAGAGAGGGGGGGTCCGCCATGGACAGAGAGGGGGGGGTCCGCCCTGGACAGAGAGGGGGGGTCCTCCCTGGACAGAGAGGGGGGGGGGGTCCTCCCTGGACAGAGAGGGGGGGTCCGCCCTGGACAGAGAGGGGGGGGGGGTCCTCCCTGGACAGAGAGGGGGGGGGGTCCTCCCTGGACAGAGAGGGGGGGTCCTCCCTGGACAGAGAGGGGGGGGGGTCCGCCCTGGACAGAGGGGGGGGGTCCGCCCTGGACAGAGAGGGGGGGGGGTCCGCCCTGGACAGAGGGGGGTGTCCGCCCTGGACAGAGAGGGGGGGTCCTCCCTGGACAGAGAGGGGGGGGGGTCCTCCCTGGACAGAGAGGGGGGGTCCGCCATGGACAGAGAGGGGGGGGTCCGCCCTGGACAGAGAGGGGGGGTCCGCCCTGGACAGAGAGGGGGGGGGTCCGCCCTGGACAGAGAGGGGGGGGGTCCTCCCTGGACAGAGAGGGGGGGTCCGCCCTGGACAGAGAGGGGGGGTCCTCCCTGGACAGAGAGGGGGGGGGTCCGCCATGGACAGAGAGGGGGGGGGTCCTCCCTGGACAGGTCTCCAGTCCATCTTAGGGCAACATAGAAACAATCATTCACACCTAAGGAGAATTTAGAGGAGCCAGTGGACCTAACAGCCATGTGTTTTTGGACGGTGGGAGGAAGCCAGAGTACCCGGAGAGAACCCACGCATGCTCAGGGAGAACAGAAAGAGCCTTGCTAGGGAACCTACTGAGCTGCCCTTCCCATAATTAGTTAATTAGCAATTAGTTAATTGTGGATGAAGTGGAAATGATCCCATAATTGGTTCCACTTTATTAATGAATCACAGAAGGAGGCGACGGAGCAGTGAGCAGCCATCTTTGTGTCACTGCTCCTTGGCATTGATCAGCTGATCGCTGGGTCAGAACCGATGGAAGCAGCGCCTCTGATGAGGGCGCGCCGCGCACACAGCTGCTGCTGCTGCTGGTCACTTCCTCTTCTTTCTGCTAATGAAGCCCTAGAGCCGCGTTCTCGCCTCCTCTCAGCCGTTGTTCTCGCCTCCTCTCAGCCGTTGTTCTCGCCTCCTCTGAGCCGCGTTCTCACCTCCTCTCAGCTGCGTTCTCGCCTCCTCTGAGCCGCGTTCTCACCTCCTCTCAGCTGCGTTCTCACCTCCTCTCAGCTGCGTTCTCACCTCCTCTCAGCTGCGTTCTCACCTCCTCTCAGCTGCGTTCTCACCTCCTCTCAGCCGCGTTCTCACCTCCTCTCAGCCGTGTTCTCCTTTCATCCGTGTTCTCCTCCCTGTGTGGCGGCAGGTGAAGAACAAGGCTCTGATGGAGCTCCTGAGGACGAAGGTGCGCCTGGCTCAGCCGTACGCCGGAGTGTTTCTGAAGAAGGATGATAAGTAAGTGAGATCATTTCCTGCTGCAGTGTTTCTGCCGTTAGCATCGCAGCTCGTTCCAGAACCGGTTCCTCCTATCTTCCAGTAACGAGTCGGATGTGGTCGAGTCCCTGGACTCCATCTATTCCACTGGGACCTTCGTTCAGATACACGAGATGCAGGATCTGGGAGACAAGCTGAGGATGATCGTCATGGGTCACCGCAGGTCAGCGCCACGCCATCCCAGAGCATCCGGCAAACACCTGGTTCCCATAGAAACCGCTGTAACCTCTGCTAACTGTGTTCCTCAGGATCCGTATAACCAGGCAGCTGGAGCTGGAGGCCGAGGAGGCGCCGGCCGAGTGGTCAGAGTCCGAGCCAGAGTCCAAGGTCAAGACTCGACGCAAGTCCAAACGCAACCGCAAGGAGCCCCCCGCGTCTGAGGCTGAGCAGCTGGAGAACAAGGTGGGTTCAGGTCAGTTCAGCGTGTTAGAATTCTGCTGCTAATCACTGCTGCTTAGTGTTCTGCTGCTAATCACAGCTGAATGCTAACACGCTGCTTAGCGTTCTGCTGCTAATCACAGCTGAATGCTAACACGCTGCTTAGCGTTCTGCTGCTAATCACAGCTGAATGCTAACACGCTGCTTAGCGTTCTGCTGCTAATCACAGCTGAATGCTAACACGCTGCTTAGCGTTCTGCTGCTAATCACAGCTGAATGCTAACACGCTGCTTAGCGTTCTGCTGCTAATCACAGCTGAATGCTAACACGCTGCTTAGCGTTCTGCTGCTAATCACAGCTGAATGCTAACACGCTGCTTAGCGTTCTGCTGCTAATCACAGCTGAATGCTAACACGCTGCTTAGCGTTCTGCTGCTAATCACAGCTGAATGCTAACACGCTGCTTAGCGTTCTGCTGCTAATCACAGCTGAATGCTAACACGCTGCTTAGCATTCTGCTGCTAATCACTGCTGAATGCTAACACGCTGATTAGTGTTCTTCTGCTAATCACAGCTGAATGCTAACATGTTGCTTAGCGTTTTGCTGCCAATTACAGCTGAATGCTAACACGCTGCTTAGCGTTCTGCTGCTAATCACTGCTGAATGCTAACACGCTGATTAGTGTTCTGCTGCTAATCACAGCTGAATGCTAACATGTTGCTTAGAGTTCTGCTGCTAATCACTGCTGAATGCTAACACGCTGCTTAGAGTTCTGCTGCTAATCACTGCTGAATGCTAACACGCTGCTTAGAGTTCTGCTGCTAATCACTGCTGAATGCTAACACGCTGATTAGTGTTCTTCTGCTAATCACAGCTGAATGCTAACATGTTGCTTAGCGTTTTGCTGCTAATTACAGCTGAATGCTAACACGCTGCTCAGCATTCTGCTGCTAATCATAGCTGAATGGTAACACGGTGCTTAGCGTTCTGTTGCTAATCATAGCTGAATGCTAACATGTTGCTTAGCATTCTGCTGCTAATCATAGCTCAATGCTAACACGCTGCTTTGCGTTCTGCTGCTAATCACAGCTGAATGCTAATATGTTGCTTAGCGTTCGGCTGCTAATCACAGCTGAATGCGAACACGGTGCTTAGAGTTCTGCTGCTAATCACTGCTGAATGCTAACACGGTGCTTAGCTGTAGAGGTGGTGAAATCCCTCCGCTGCTCCAGGTTCTGTAACAAGGAAGCAGGAAAACCCTGAGCTGTTTTAGATCCGTCCTTCTGTCTGGACCTTTGAACGAATGCTAACCGCTGACGATCCTCAGGAGGAAAGGCGGCACCGCCTCCTGGGGGATTGCTGCTGAACGTCCGTGTGGTTAAACAGGCATTGAAGTGTTTGTTGATCAGGTTGCAGACGCTGACCTGAGTCCAGAGCTCCAGCCTTTACCCTCCTCCAGCATCCTGATGGTTGAAGTGGATAACGTCCAGCATGAGCAGTTCACGGTCACAGAGGAGGTCAAGGTAGCGCCCTGAGCCACGCAGGTGGGAGCCGTCGCAGTGATGGTCGAATGTTCTCAGACTGCGTGTCTCCGCAGGCGCTGACAGCTGAAATAGTGAAGACCATCCGGGACATCATCGCCCTCAACCCCCTCTACAGGTTAGCCAAGGCGCTGCTGTTCCACTGCATGGTTCCCAGGTAGCCAGCGGGCTAACTTTTCACCTGAGGCTGAACGAGTTGCCGATATTTTCCTGCAGATGTTTCACTGCAGGGTTTTTTCAGGACCTTCTAGGTCTGCGGTCCAGAGTCCTTTGCTGCACGACTTCGGTTAGGGTGCATGGAGCTGGTACTAGCTGCAGGTCTCTCTCTGTCCATGTGGCAGCAAACCCACTGTAAACGTAGTGCGCCCCCTAAAGGGCCGGAGGGAGAAATGTAGCGTTTACCTGTTAAATGCAATGAATAGATTGGAATTCAACTGTATTGTCATTTTTACAACACACACATTTACAACGAAATTCACTCTCTGGATTTAACCCATACCCTTGGGGAGCAGTGGGCTGCCATTGTGCGGCGCCCGGGGAGCAGAGTGGGGACTCGGGGACCCAGTGTGGCCGCCGCTCCTCCCCCAGTGTGGCCGCCGCTCCTCTCCCAGTGTGGCCGCCGCTCCTCTCCCAGTGTGGCCGCCGCTCCTCTCCCAGTGTGGCCGCCGCTCCTCTCCCAGTGTGGCCGCCGCTCTCCCAGTGTGGCCGCTCCTCCCCCAGTGTGGCCGCCGCTCCTCCCCCAGTGTGGCCGCCGCTCCTCCCCCAGTGTGGCCACCACTCCTCTCCCAGTGTGGCCACCGCTCCTCTCCCAGTGTGGCCGCCGCTCCTCCCCCAGTGTGGCCGCCGCTCCTCCCCCAGTGTGGCCACCACTCCACACCACTCCTCTCCCAGTGTGGCCACCGCTCCTCTCCCAGTGTGGCCCCCGCTCCTCTCCCAGTGTGGCCACCGCTCCTCTCCCAGTGTGGCCACCGCTCCTCTCCCAGTGTGGCCACCGCTCCTCTCCCAGTGTGGCCACCGCTCCTCTCCCAGTGTGGCCACCACTCCTCTCCCAGTGTGGCCACCGCTCCTCTCCCACCACCACTCCTCTCCCAGTGTGGCCACCGCTCCTCTCCCAGTGTGGCCACCACTCCTCTCCCAGTGTGGCCACCACTCCTCTCCCAGTGTGGCCACCGCTCCTCTCCCAGTGTGGCCACCGCTCCTCTCCCAGTGTGGCCACCGCTCCTCCCCCAGTGTGGCCGCCGCTCCTCTCCCAGTGTGGCCGCCGCTCCTCTCCCAGTGTGGCCGCCGCCACTCCCCCAGTGTGGCCACTCCTCCCCCAGTGTGGCCGCCGCTCCTCCCCCAGTGTGGCCACCACTCCACACCACTCCTCTCCCAGTGTGGCCGCCACTCCACACCACTCCTCTCCCAGTGTGGCCACCGCTTCTCCCCCAGTGTGGCCACCACTCCTCTCCCAGTGTGGCCACCGCTCCTCTCCCAGTGTGGCCGCTCCTCCCCCAGTGTGGCCACCACTCCACACCACTCCTCTCCCAGTGTGGCCACCACCGCTCCTCTCCCAGTGTGGCCACCGCTCCTCCCCCAGTGTGGCCACCGCTCCTCCCCCAGTGTGGCCACCGCTCCTCTCCCAGTGTGGCCACCGCTCCTCTCCCAGTGTGGCCACCGCTCCTCCCCCAGTGTGGCCACCACTCCTCTCCCAGTGTGGCCACCGCTCCTCTCCCAGTGTGGCCACCACTCCTCTCCCAGTGTGGCCACCGCTCCTCTCCCAGTTTGGCCACCACTCCTCTCCCAGTTTGGCCACCACTCCTCTCCCAGTGTGGCCACCGCTCCTCTCCCAGTGTGGCCACCACTCCTCTCCCAGTGTGGCCACCGCTCCTCTCCCAGTTTGGCCACCACTCCTCTCCCAGTGTGGCCACCGCTCCTCTCCCAGTTTGGCCACCACTCCTCTCCCAGTGTGGCCACCACTCCTCTCCCAGTGTGGCCACCACCGCTCCTCTCCCAGTGTGGCCACCACCGCTCCTCTCCCAGTGTGGCCACCACTCCTCTCCCAGTGTGGCCACCACTCCTCTCCCAGTGTGGCCACCACCACTCCTCTCCCAGTGTGGCCACCGCTCCTCTCCCAGTGTGGCCACCACCACTCCTCTCCCAGTGTGGCCACCACCGCTCCTCTCCCAGTGTGGCCACCACCGCTCCTCTCCCAGTGTGGCCACCACCGCTCCTCTCCCAGTGTGGCCACCACTCCTCTCCCAGTGTGGCCACCACCGCTCCTCTCCCAGTGTGGCCACCACCGCTCCTCTCCCAGTGTGGCCACCACCGCTCCTCTCCCAGTGTGGCCACCGCTCCTCTCCCAGTGTGGCCACCACTCCACACCACTCCTCTCCCAGTGTGGCCACCGCTCCTCTCCCAGTGTGGCCACCGCTCCTCTCCCAGTGTGGCCACCACTCCACACCACTCCTCTCCCAGTGTGGCCACCACTCCTCTCCCAGTGTGGCCACCACCGCTCCTCTCCCAGTGTGGCCACCACTCCTCTCCCAGTGTGGCCACCACTCCTCTCCCAGTGTGGCCACCACCGCTCCTCTCCCAGTGTGGCCACCACCGCTCCTCTCCCAGTGTGGCCACCACTCCTCTCCCAGTGTGGCCACCACCGCTCCTCTCCCAGTGTGGCCACCGCTCCTCTCCCAGTGTGGCCACCACTCCTCTCCCAGTGTGGCCACCGCTCCTCTCCCAGTGTGGCCACCGCTCCTCTCCCAGTGTGGCCACCGCTCCTCTCCCAGTGTGGCCACCACTCCTCTCCCAGTGTGGCCACCGCTCCTCTCCCAGTGTGGCCACCGCTCCTCCCCCAGTGTGGCCACCGCTCCTCCCCCAGTGTGGCCACCACTCCTCCCCCAGTGTGGCCACCGCTCCTCTCCCAGTGTGGCCACCGCTCCTCTCCCAGTGTGGCCACCGCTCCTCTCCCAGTGTGGCCACCGCTCCTCTCCCAGTGTGGCCACCGCTCCTCGCCCAGTGTGGCCACCGCTCCTCCCCCAGTGTGGCCGCCGCTCCTCCCCCAGTGTGGCCGCCGCTCCTCTCCCAGTGTGGCCACCACTCCTCTCCCAGTGTGGCCACCACTCCTCTCCCAGTGTGGCCGCCGCTCCTCTCCCAGTGTGGCCGCCGCTCCTCTCCCAGTGTGGCCACCACCGCTCCTCCCCCAGTGTGGCCACCACTCCTCTCCCAGTGTGGCCACCACTCCTCTCCCAGTGTGGCCACCACTCCTCTCCCAGTGTGGCCACCGCTCCTCTCCCACCACCACTCCTCTCCCAGTGTGGCCACCGCTCCTCTCCCAGTGTGGCCACCACTCCTCTCCCAGTGTGGCCACCGCTCCCCCCCCAGTGTGGCCACCGCTCCCCCCCCAGTGTGGCCACCGCTCCCCCCCCAGTGTGGCCACCGCTCCCCCCCCAGTGTGGCCACCGCTCCTCCCCCAGTGTGGCCACCGCTCCCCCCCCAGTGTGGCCACCGCTCCCCCCCCAGTGTGGCCACCACTCCTCTCCCAGTGTGGCCACCACTCCACACCACTCCTCTCCCAGTGTGGCCACCACTCCTCTCCCAGTGTGGCCACCGCTCCTCTCCCAGTGTGGCCACCGCTCCTCTCCCAGTGTGGCCACCGCTCCTCTCCCAGTGTGGCCACCACTCCACACCACTCCTCCCCCAGTGTGGCCACCGCTCCTCCCCCAGTGTGGCCACCGCTCCCCCCCCCAGTGTGGCCACCGCTCCCCCCCCAGTGTGGCCACCGCTCCCCCCCCAGTGTGGCCACCGCTCCCCCCCCCAGTGTGGCCACCGCTCCTCCCCCAGTGTGGCCACCGCTCCCCCCCCAGTGTGGCCACCGCTCCCCCCCCAGTGTGGCCACCACTCCTCCCCCAGTGTAGCCACCGCTCCCCCCCCAGTGTAGCCACCGCTCCCCCCCCAGTGTGGCCACCGCTCCTCCCCCAGTGTGGCCACCGCTCCCCCAGTGTGGCCACCGCTCCCCCCCAGTGTGGCCACCGCTCCTCCCCCAGTGTGGCCACCGCTCCCCCCCCAGTGTGGCCACCGCTCCCCCCCCAGTGTGGCCACCGCTCCTCCCCCAGTGTGGCCACCGCTCCCCCCCCAGTGTAGCCACCGCTCCCCCCCCAGTGTGGCCACCGCTCCTCCCCCAGTGTGGCCACCGCTCCTCCCCCAGTGTAGCCACCGCTCCCCCCCCAGTGTGGCCACCACCGCTCCTCTCCCAGTGTGGCCACCGCTCCTCTCCCAGTGTGGCCGCCGCTCCTCTCCCAGTGTGGCCACCGCTCCTCTCCCAGTGTGGCCACCACTCCTCTCCCAGTGTGGCCGCCACTCCTCTCCCAGTGTGGCCGCCGCTCCTCTCCCAGTGTGGCCACCACCGCTCCTCCCCCAGTGTGGCCACCACCGCTCCTCCCCCAGTGTGGCCACCACTCCTCTCCCAGTGTGGCCACCACTCCTCTCCCAGTGTGGCCACCACTCCTCTCCCAGTGTGGCCGCCGCTCCTCTCCCAGTGTGGCCGCCGCTCCTCTCCCAGTGTGGCCACCACCGCTCCTCCCCCAGTGTGGCCACCGCTCCTCCCCCAGTGTGGCCACCACTCCTCTCCCAGTGTGGCCACCACTCCTCTCCCAGTGTGGCCACCGCTCCTCTCCCAGTGTGGCCACCACTCCACACCACTCCTCTCCCAGTGTGGCCACCACTCCTCTCCCAGTGTGGCCACCACTCCTCTCCCAGTGTGGCCACCGCTCCTCTCCCAGTGTGGCCACCACTCCACACCGCTCCTCTCCCAGTGTGGCCACCGCTCCTCTCCCAGTGTGGCCACCACTCCACACCACTCCTCTCCCAGTGTGGCCACCACTCCACACCACTCCTCTCCCAGTGTGGCCACCGCTCCTCTCCCAGTGTGGCCACCGCTCCTCTCCCAGTGTGGCCACCGCTCCTCTCCCAGTGTGGCCACCGCTCCTCTCCCAGTGTGGCCACCGCTCCTCTCCCAGTGTGGCCACCGCTCCTCTCCCAGTGTGGCCACCACTCCACACCACTCCTCCCCCAGTGTGGCCACCGCTCCTCCCCCAGTGTGGCCACCGCTCCCCCCCCAGTGTGGCCACCGCTCCCCCCCCAGTGTGGCCACCGCTCCTCCCCCAGTGTGGCCACCGCTCCCCCCCCAGTGTGGCCACCGCTCCCCCCCCAGTGTGGCCACCACTCCTCCCCCAGTGTAGCCACCGCTCCCCCCCCAGTGTAGCCACCGCTCCCCCCCCAGTGTGGCCACCGCTCCTCCCCCAGTGTGGCCACCGCTCCCCCCCCAGTGTGGCCACCGCTCCTCCCCCAGTGTGGCCACCGCTCCCCCCCCAGTGTGGCCACCGCTCCCCCCCCCAGTGTGGCCACCACTCCTCCCCCAGTGTAGCCACCGCTCCCCCCCCAGTGTAGCCACCGCTCCCCCCCCAGTGTGGCCACCGCTCCTCCCCCAGTGTGGCCACCGCTCCTCCCCCAGTGTAGCCACCGCTCCCCCCCCAGTGTAGCCACCGCTCCCCCCCCAGTGTGGCCACCGCTCCCCCCCCAGTGTGGCCACCACCGCTCCTCTCCCAGTGTGGCCACCCGCTCCTCTCCCAGTGTGGCCACCGCTCCTCTCCCAGTGTGGCCACCACTCCACACCACTCCTCTCCCAGTGTGGCCACCGCTCCTCTCCCAGTGTGGCCACCGCTCCTCTCCCAGTGTGGCCACCACTCCTCTCCCAGTGTGGCCACCGCTCCTCCCCCAGTGTGGCCACCACTCCTCTCCCAGTGTGGCCACCACTCCTCTCCCAGTGTAGCCACCACTCCTCTCCCAGTTTGGCCACCACCACTCCTCCCCCAGTGTGGCCACCACTCCTCTCCCAGTGTGGCCACCACTCCTCTCCCAGTGTGGCCACCACCACTCCTCTCCCAGTGTGGCCACCACTCCTCTCCCAGTGTGGCCACCACTCCTCTCCCAGTGTGGCCACCACTCCTCTCCCAGTGTGGCCACCACTCCTCCCCCAGTGTAGCCACCACTCCTCCCCCAGTGTGGCCACCACTCCTCTCCCAGTGTGGCCACCACTCCTCTCCCAGTGTGGCCACCACCACTCCTCTCCCAGTGTGGCCACCACCACTCCTCTCCCAGTGTGGCCACCACTCCTCTCCCAGTGTGGCCACCACTCCTCTCCCAGTGTGGCCACCACTCCTCTCCCAGTGTGGCCACCGCTCCTCCCCCAGTGTGGCCACCGCTCCTCCCCCAGTGTGGCCGCCGCTCCTCTCCCAGTGTGGCCACCGCTCCTCTCCCAGTGTGGCCACCACTCCTCTCCCAGTGTGGCCACCACTCCTCCCCCAGTGTGGCCACCACTCCTCTCCCAGTGTAGCCACCACTCCTCTCCCAGTGTGGCCACCACCACTCCTCCCCCAGTGTGCGGGAGTTAGCTAACTTCAGAGCATTTATCTCAGAGGTGCGCTCTGATCCAGGGATGTTAACCTCACTGCGTTCTCAGATATCCGAGCTTTTCTCCAGCCTTGAACGTTTCACATGCCTTTTACGTCGGACTCTGCATTAACAGCCTGTGTGTAGGATAGGACTACTGCAACAGTTCCTGAGGTACAGCGCCACCTGTAGGCGGCTCCCTCCAGCTCTGTCCGATGAACAGAAGCTAATTGTTGCTAACGGAGGTTTTGCTTTGCATAGAAACGTGTTGTAGTTGCTTCTGTGCTGAAAGCTGTTTGTCTGCCAGAGAGTCGGTGCTTCAGATGATGCAGGCCGGTCAGCGGGTGGTGGATAACCCCATCTACCTGAGCGACATGGGGGCGGCGCTGACAGGAGCCGAGTCCCGGGAGCTGCAGGACGTCCTGGAGGAGACCAATGTAGGAGCCCCTCCTTGTGAGAGCAGGAATCGTTTTTCCTCTTATTGCAAAAACCATGAAGTGATTATTTGTCCCTGCAGATCCCCAAGCGTCTCTACAAAGCTCTGTCTCTGCTGAAGAAGGAGTATGAACTGAGCAAACTGCAGCAGCGGCTGGGCCGTGAGGTCAGAGGTCACAAAGCGCGATCTGCCTCTGCACAGCTCGCCGTGTGTGCTCACTAAGCCTCTGCTGTGCTACAGGTGGAGGAGAAGATCAAGCAGACCCACAGGAAATACCTCCTGCAGGAGCAGCTGAAGATCATCAAGAAGGTAGAGAAGAGTTTCATCATGCTGTGGGATCACTTTTAAAATGAAACGGCTCTTCATTGGGTTACCATGGCAACAAGTTCGTTTTACCAGCACAGCCGGTTTAGATGGAAAGGTCCAGGTATTGCAGACAAGCTGGAGTCTTCCTAGACCTGAACGCTCTAGATGCAATTTCTATGGCTGATCTAGATTGTAGATCACAGATCTAAGAGAAAAACTCATCTGCACTGAAACATCTGTGAGGTTTGGACCCTTCCCCCTGAAACGGAGCAGAGCTGGTCAGACCTTCTGTCCCGGTCTAAATAAAGACCAACGGCCACCGTAGCAGCAAACGCAGCGTCAGCTACATGGCTGCATGCTGGCTGCTGCCTAGGGAGGCAGGGTCTCACTCTCTGCCCCTGCAGGTCTCACTCCCTGCCCCTCTCACTCCCTGCCTGTGTTTTTAGGAGCTGGGTCTGGAGAAAGACGACAAAGAAGCCATTGAAGACAAATTCAGGGAGAGGCTGAAGGACCGGAATGTCCCTGAACACATCATGGAGGTGATCAACGAAGAACTGAACAAGCTCGGGCTGCTGGATAACCACTCCTCAGAGTTCAAGTAGGCCTGATTCCAGCTTCTGGGCGATTCTTGGTGGTTCTGGGCTCGATCCGATCTCTCGTGGCTTCCTGCTCTGTGTTTCAGTGTGACCCGTAACTACCTGGACTGGCTGACCAGCATTCCCTGGGGGACCAACAGCCAGGAGAACCTGTCCTTGGACCGAGCCAAGGAGGTTCTGGAGGAAGACCATTATGGGATGGATGATGTGAAGAAACGTATCCTGGTAGGAGGAGCTCTCTCAGCATGAATCCAGAGGACGCTGCTGGCTGTGGTACCCAGCCGTCTCTCTCTCTCTGCCCGCATTCAGGAGTTCATCGCCGTCAGCCAGCTGCGAGGCTCCACCCAGGGCAAGATCCTCTGCTTCTACGGCCCCCCCGGGGTAGGCAAGACCTCCATCGCCCGCTCCATCGCCAGGGCGCTGAACAGGCAGTACTTCAGGTTCAGCGTGGGCGGCATGACGGACGTGGCTGAGATCAAAGGACATCGGTGAGTAGCTGTCTGAGGGCCCCTCAGCTGACCTGGGGCGGGGGCCCCGCAGCTGTCTGAGGGCCCCGCAGCTGACCTGGGGCGGGAGCCCCGCAGCTGTCTGAGGGCCCCGCAGCTGACCTGGGGCGGGGGCCTCGCTGCTGACCTGGGGCGGGGGCCCCGCAGCTGACTGAGGGCCCCGCTGAACTGTCGGCATCCAGGAGCCGACCGGAGGCGCTTCATTCAGCGGAGCAGATCAGAGCTGCTCCCTTTGCCTTCATCCACAGAGGAACTTCAGCTTCTCAGTTCCTTCATGGTTTCAGACCCTCATCAGTTCCTCCAGATCCCATCAGCCAATCACTTCCTGTCAGTTCAGACATTATCAATTAATGGAGAAAGAAAAATGAATCTAAGCATAAATTGGCCCCAAAAGCATCAGAGATGTTTAGACTGAAGTTAAAATCAGTCTCTGGTCTGATTGCATTTCCAGCTCTGGGAAAATAATCCGTTCAGGTTCTGCCTCGGTTCTCCGGATGGATCCTTTATGTTCCTTTAGAATAATTTCCTTTTCTGTTCCACCCATTTCTTCTTCTGGGTTTTAGTTGTTTTTATCTCTTTAACGCTGCTACCTGAACATCATGCAGTTAAACATCGATCTGAGACGCATCTGAATGTTTCCAGGAGAACATATGTTGGAGCGATGCCCGGGAAAATGATCCAGTGTCTGAAGAAAACCAAGACGGAGAACCCGCTGGTGCTGATCGATGAGGTGGGTCATCTGAGTGATGTGGGAGGGGCTGATTATTGTGATAAAGGCCCGACGCGTCGCTCACGCCGTAACGGAGGTCAGGTCCACCTGAATCTCATCCAGTTTCTATTCTGGTTCTCCTGACAAACCAAACGATCCTAACGAAGTTTGCTCAGAATTGGATGCATCAGACAGACGGCCTGCAGTGGTCAGACATGGTCTGTTGCTTAGCAACCCTGCTGCCTGCCCGCATGGCTTTCAGTTGTTCCGTCACAGCTAGCGAAACTGATCCGTGCCAAGCTCGGTTTCTTACAACCGTTTCCACACTAGCACGGTTCCTCGCCTCCTAGTGGCGATCTACGGTACTACTGCTCTCTAGAGAGATACAAGCAAACCAACATGGCAGCGCCCGTAACCTTCAGGCAGCTTTTGGTGAATTTACTTGACAGAGTGGGCTTTTGGGAAGTGATACGACAAACGATAGTCTAAACAGGACTTCCAGACGCAGGAAATTATGACAGACGTTGAGGTTCATCACACTGCTTAGCAGAATCGTAACTGGGAATCGTGCGGCGCGTTAGGAAGCTAGGATTGTAGGAACCATTACGGAGGCTGGCTGCTCATAGAGAACTGAGCCAGAACTGAACCACGCCGAGCCCGACTGATGAACTAGTACCAGTTTAGCGCAGGCTCTGCACGGCCTCTAAAGGCCAGTGGAAATGGAGCTACAGAATGCATGTTTGTGTTGTTGAACTCTCTAAACCCCCCCCCCCAGGTGGATAAAATAGGCCGCGGTTACCAAGGCGATCCGTCCTCTGCTCTGCTGGAGCTGCTGGATCCTGAACAGAACTCCAACTTCCTGGACCATTACCTGGATGTTCCTGTGGACCTGTCGAAGGTGGGAGACGGATGGCGGCTCAGTTCGGTCCAAACCCTCTGGGTCCAGTTAGGTCAGCTGTGTGTGTTCCTCTCCAGGTTCTGTTTATCTGCACCGCCAACGTGACCCACACCATCCCAGAACCGCTGAGGGACAGAATGGAGATGATCAACGTGTCTGGATATGTGGCCCAGGAGAAGCTGGCCATCGCTGAGGTAGACCACCAAGACCCCAAGGAACCTAAGGAACCAGTCAGCTGGTTCCATCAGGGGCCCCAGGTTACCATAGAAACCTAGATAGCTGCAGAGCTAAAGCTGAACGGGGAAACCTCAGTCACTGATCCGGCCGGGAGCTGCTAGCCGGGCTGGGAGCTGCTAGCCGGGCCGGGAGCTGCTAGCCGGGCCGGGAGCTGCTAGCCGGGCTGGGAGCTGCTAGCCGGGCCGGGAGCTGCTAGCCGGACCGGAGCTGCTAGCCGGGCCGGGAGCTGCTAGCCGGACCGGAGCTGCTAGCCGGACCGGAGCTGCTAGCCGGGCCGGGAGCTGCTAGCCGGACCGGAGCTGCTAGCCGGGCCGGGAGCTGCTAGCCGGACCGGAGCTGCTAGCCGGGCCGGGAGCTGCTAGCCGGGCCGGGAGCTGCTAGCCGGACCGGGAGCTGCTAGCCGGACCGGAGCTGCTACCCGGACCGGAGCTGCTAGCCGGGCCGGGAGCTGCTAGCCGGACCGGAGCTGCTAGCCGGGCCGGGAGCTGCTAGCCGGACCGGAGCTGCTAGCCGGACCGGGAGCTGCTAGCCGGACCGGGAGCTGCTAGCCGGACCGGGAGCTGCTAGCCGGACCGGAGCTGCTAGCCGGACCGGAGCTGCTAGCCGGCCGCTGTACTGAGGGCGACTGAGCAAATGTTCCTGCAATGTTTGGCTGCAGTGACAGTAAAACAATGATGTATCATGGGATGGAGGCGAGCTTTAGCTTACAGGATGAAGCCACTGCAGCCTCTGTGTAACGATTTCTAGAAATGGAATCCATGTTTAGAAATTCTGTCTATTGTTCCTCCAGTGAATCTGAGGCCTAACCTCAGACCTCCTGGAGGTGAGCAGCTTCAGACCTCACTAGGTTCTACACACCTCAGCGCCATAGAGACGTTCAGCTGCTGTTTGCTTCTCTAATCCTGTGTCTGTGTAGCGCTACCTGGTCCCCCAGCTGCGCACGCTCTGCGGCCTGACGGAGGAGAAGGCCTCCATCTCATCGGATGCCCTGAGTCTGCTCATCAGACAGTACTGCAGAGAGTCTGGAGTGAGGAACCTGCAGAAGCAGATAGAGAAGGTGAGACGTCTCCCAGGTGTCTGTAAGGAGCTTTGTTTTCCCCACTGACTCATTTCCACCAGGAACTCGTCTTCTTCACCTCCTGCTGCCTCAGCTGTGGGAAGCCAGAGGCGCTGCAGAACAGCAGAGAGACCTGATCCCAGACATCGTCCCCTGGTCCTCCTGCTGGTGGGACGTCCCTACAACCCCTCAGAGGGAGGCGTCCATCAGATAAAGATGTCTGATCCTCCTCAGCAGCTCTACTCGAGCCTCTCCCTGAAGCCGGGCATTCTCTGTACCATCTTTTAAATCGCTGCACGCAGCTAAACCTCGCACTGTATGACCTGAGTGTTTAAAAGTTCCCAGCTCACGAGGTCTGTTCTCTCGCTGTGCGTCGTGACGCTATGATGCGGTCTACCTGCTCTAGCTGTGCGTCGTGACGCTCTGATGCGGTCTACCTGCTCTAGCTGTGCGTCGTGACGCTCTGATGCGGTCTACCTGCTCTAGCTGTGCGTCGTGACGCTCTGATGCGGTCTACCTGCTCTCGCTGTGCGTCGTGACGCTCTGATGCGGTCTACCTGCTCTAGCTGTGCGTCGTGACGCTCTGATGCGGTCTACCTGCTCTAGCTGTGCGTCGTGACGCTCTGATGCGGTCTACCTGCTCTAGCTGTGCGTCGTGACGCTCTGATGCGGTCTACCTGCTCTAGCTGTGCGTCCTGACGCTCTGATGCGGTCTACCTGCTCTAGCTGTGCGTCCTGACGCTCTGATGCGGTCTACCTGCTCTCGCTGTGCGTCGTGACGCTCTGATGCGGTCTACCTGCTCTAGCTGTGCGTCGTGACGCTCTGATGCGGTCTACCTGCTCTAGCTGTGCGTCCTGACGCTCTGATGCGGTCTACCTGCTCTCGCTGTGCGTCCTGACGCTCTGATGCGGTCTACCTGCTCTCGCTGTGCGTCGTGACGCTCTGATGCGGTCTACCTGCTCTCGCTGTGCGTCCTGACGCTCTGATGCGGTCTACCTGCTCTCGCTGTGCGTCGTGACGCTCTGATGCGGTCTACCTGCTCTCGCTGTGCGTCCGTGACGCTCTGATGCGGTCTACCTGCTCTCGCTGTGCGTCGTGACGCTCTGATGCGGTCTACCTGCTCTAGCTGTGCGTCGTGACGCTCTGATGCGGTCTACCTGCTCTCGCTGTGCGTCGTGACGCTCTGATGCGGTCTACCTGCTCTCGCTGTGCGTCGTGACGCTCTGATGCGGTCTACCTGCTCTCGCTGTGCGTCGTGACGCTCTGATGCGGTCTACCTGCTCTCGCTGTGCGTCGTGACGCTCTGATGCGGTCTACCTGCTCTCGCTGTGCGTCGTGACGCTCTGATGCGGTCTACCTGCTCTCGCTGTGCGTCGTGACGCTCTGATGCGGTCTACCTGCTCTCGCTGTGCGTCGTGACGCTCTGATGCGGTCTACCTGCTCTCGCTGTGCGTCGTGACGCTCTGATGCGGTCTACCTGCTCTCGCTGTGCTGTCGTGACGCTCTGATGCGGTCTACCTGCTTCAGCTGTGCGTCGTGACGCTCTGATGCGGTCTACCTGCTCTAGCTGTGCGTCCTGACGCTCTGATGCCGGGGGCACTTGGGTCTGTGTGGTCTGCGCTCTGATTTTTCGGGGCTACCCGCCTCGCTGTGCGTCGTGGCCCCTCTGATTTCGGTCTACCTGCTTCGCTGTGCGTCGTGAGCTCGGGTGCGGTTTTACCTTTTCCCTCGTGGCGTCTTTACGCTCTTTATTTCGGTCTTTCCTGCTCTCGCTGTAAAATCGTGACGGCTCTTGGTTTGGGGTTTTACCTGCTTTTCGCTGTGCGTCGTGGGCGTCGATGCGGGGCTACCTTTCTCTGCTGTGCGTGTTTACGCTCTGGTTTCGGGTCTACCCGCTCTAGCTGTGCGTCGTGCGCTCTGATGCGGGCTACTGCTCTAGCTTGGTGCGTCTTTGGACGCTTGAAGCGGGGTTTTTTTTCCTGGCCCCGCTGTGCGTCCTGACGCTCTGATGCGGGGGTTTTCCCGCTTAAAGGGGTGCGTCGTGCGCTTGATGCGGTTTTTTACCTGCCCCCTCGCTGTTGGTCGTGACCTCTGATGCGGTTCTACTGCTTTTAAACTGGTTTCGTTTCCCGACGGTCTGTTTCGGTCTACCTGCTCTAGCTTTTGGGTCGTTTACGCTTTGATGCGGGCTACCTGCTTTTAGCTGTTTTGTCGTGACCTCTGATGCGGTCTACCCGGCTCTCGCTTGCGGGCTTTTAAAAAACCCGGTCCGTTTCCCCTCCATTGCACCCCTTTCCATACTTCTGGGGTTTTGGTTGAAGGTGTTTTTGTTTGAGCGCCCTTAAACGGTTTTTTAAAGGGCCACCTTAGATTTTTGATGGGGGGGGGTGGAGAGGTGGAACGCTCCTGTTACCTCCCGTTCTAAAAAACCCCGCACCATCAGGATGAAGGTCGGCCCCAATTCTTTGGTCCAAAAAGGGCCCAAAAAAAAGATACATTTTACCGGGGGGGTTTAATTTACCCAAGGGTCCCCACCCTTTCTTGAGGGAGAGCCCGGCCCCCTGCAGAGGAAGCTGGGATCCCCCGGGTCTGGTTCTTTGGGTCCTGATCCAGAGGGTAGGTGAGGGGGGAAACGTTTTGATGACCTTTTCTTTCAGCTCTGAGGGAGAGCTGACGGGGGGCAGGTTGGAAAACCTTTTTAAACCCCCTTTTGCCTGGTTTATGATGGTTGTTTTGGGGGGCCCGAGCACCTCCTGTCTTCCCCATGTTGGGCCCCAATCCGGCCCCCTTTTTGGGGTGGGGGAAGCTTTCAGTGGGACTGCACTGGTGGGGCTTTAAAGGGGGCTCAAATTTTCCCCTTTTTTTTGGGGGTTTTTACCCCCTTTAAAATGCTCCTCTTCATTTTTAAAAGGCTGCTGGAAGCTCGCTTTCCATCCGGGGCTTCACCATCTTTACCCCATATGGGGGGAAAGGGCTTCCCCCTTTCCCAAAGGGAAAGGGGCTTCTGACTTTCTCCGGTTTGCTGCCTCCTCCCTGACCTTGCTGACCCCCCTTCCCCGACTCCGCTGACCTCCCTCCCTGAACTCCGCTTTACCTCCTCCCCGAAATCCGCTGACCTCCCTCCCGGGAAATCCGCTGACCCCCCCTCCCCGACCCCGCTGACTCCCCCCCGACCTCCGTGGGGCCCCCCTCCCTGACCTCCCCTTTTTCCCCCCTCCCCGAACTCCACTGACCTCCCCCCCTGACCCCTGCTGACCTCCCCCCTGACCTCTGTGGGCCTCCCCTCCCTTTACCTCCCTCCCTGACCTCCCCTGACCTCCCTCCCTGACCTCCGCTGACTCCCTCCCTGAACCCCCTTTACCTCCCTCCCTTTACCTCTTTCTGGGCCTCCCCCCCTGACCTCCCCCTGACCTCCCCCCCTGACCTCCGCTGACCTCCCTTTCCCCGACCCGCTGACCTCCCCTCCCGACCTCCCCTTTACCCCCTTTCCCCGAAAATCCCTGACCTTCCCCCCCCTGACCTCCCTGACCCCCCCTCCTTTTACCCCTGCTGACCTCCCTCCCTGACCTCCACTGACCCCCTCCCGACCTTTGCTGACTTCCCCCCCCTGACCCCCGCTGACCCCCCTTCCCCGACCTCCGGACTCCCCTCCCTGAAATCCCCTGACCTCCTCCCTGCCTTCCCCCCCTGCCTCCCCTGACCTCCTCCTGCCTCTGCTTTTCCTCCCTCCCCGACCCCCACTTTACCCCCCTCCTGACCTGGAAACCCCCCTCCCTTACCTCCAAAGACCTTCCCCCCCCTGCCCCCTTTCTGACCTCCCCCCCCCTGACCCCCGCTGACCTCCCTCCCTGACCTCCCCCCCTGACCTCCACTGACTCCCTCCCTGCCTCCGCTGACCCCCCTCCCTGACCTCCCCCTGTCCCTCGCTGACCTCCCTCCCTGACCCCCTTTTTCGGGCCCCCCTCCCTGGGCCTCCGCTGACTCCCTCCCTGACCTCCGCTGACCTCCCTCCCGGGGCCCCCGTGACCTCCCTCCCTGACCTCCCTCGTGACCTCCCCTGACCCCCCCTCGCTGACCTCTGCTTTTACCCCCCTTCCCCGGGCCTCCGCTTTTACCTCCCTCGCTGACCCCTGCTGACCCCCCTCCCTGGGGCCTCCGGACCTCCCTCCCCTGAACCCCCGCTGAACCCCCCTCCCTGCCTCCGCTGACCTCCCTCCCCCGACCTCCGCTGACCTCCCTCCCTGAAATCCGACGACCCCCCTCCTGACCCCCCTCCCTGACCTCGCGGGCCCCCCTCCTGAAAATCCCCTGGGCCTCCCTCCCTGGGCCTTGCTGAACCCCCCCCTTTCCTCTTTCTGACCTCCCTCCCCTGACCTCCCCCCCTTTTACCCCCACTGCCCCTCCCTGACCCCCGCTGACCTCCCTCCCGACTCCGCTGACCTCCCCCCCTGACCTTGGTGACCTCCCCCTGACCCCCCCGGGTACCTCCCCCCTGGCCCCCGTGAAACCCCCCTCCCTGCCTTTCCCCTGACCTTTCCCCCCCTGGGCCTTCCCCGACCTCCCTCCCTGAACTCCGCTGACCTCCCCCCCTGACCCCCATGACCTCCCTCCCGACCTCTGCTGACCCCCTCCCTGACCTCCACTGACCTCCCCCCCCTGACCCCTTTTCTGACCTCCCCTCCCCGACCCCCGTTTACCTCCCTCCCTGACCTTCCCCTGACCTCCTCCCTGAAAAACCGCTGACCTCCCCCCCTTAACCTCCCCCTGACCTCACTGACCTTTCCCCCCTGACCTTGTGACCTCCCTCCCTTTACCTACTGGGCCTCCCTCCTGACCTCTGCTGACCCCCCTCCCCGACCTTTTCCCCGACCTTTCCCTCCCTGACCTTGCTGGGCCCCTCCCTTCCCCGACCCCCGCGGAAAATTTCCCCCCCTTGGGGCCTCCCCCCCTGACCTCCACGGGCCTCCCCTCCCTGAAACCCCCGCGGGCCTCCCTCCCTGACCTTTCCCTTTTCCCCGACCTCCCCCGCTGGGCCCCCCTCCCTGAACCCCTGGGTGGGGCCCCCTCCCCGAACCCCCGCTGACCCCCCTCCCCGACCTCCCCTGACCTCCCTCCCTGACCTCCCCTGACCTCCCTTTCCCGACCTCCTTTGCTGGGCCTCCGCTGACCTCCCTCGCTTTAATTTTTTTTGACCTCCCTCCCGACCTCCCCTGACCTCCCCCGTGGGCCCCTGCTGGGCCTCCCTCCCCCACCTCCCCCTGAAACCCCCCTCC